TTTGTACAGAAAGCGCCAATATTGGCGCTGTGAAAAACTAATAGGCACCTAAAAAGCCTTAGAAAGACAGAAAAAGCAAACAAAACAAAAGCAGACTAAGAGGGCAAGAAAGAAAGATAGGGGTAGTTACGAGGCCCACTTAGTTAAATGAAAGTAGAGCGCGAGCGGGGCATTTGTCTTAGACCGCCCGGGTAGCTAGCAATAGGCTAGGAGAAACAGAAGGAAAGGCACCAACACACAAGTGTGTTGAGTGCGATTTCCTTCTGTTTCCCGAGTAGTGGGTGGGGTAGCAACGGAGGCCCAGGGGTAGGGAGGGGAAAATGCACGATTAATTCGTCCGGCCTGTGAATACTTAGCAGCACATGCACATGTGAATACTTAGCCGTTGCAAGCGTTTCGAAACTGTCAGTTCCCGTGGTAAGGCCCGGCGGCCGTTGTGGCAGTTAATTCAGTGGTTGCGTCGGTGACTTCCAGTGGAGTTCCTGTGAAAAGTGGTGAGGTCCGTTAGTGCTTTCACGATGAGACAGCGCCCCAATGACGGGGATCACACTCAGCACCCGAGTGGGACGGCTGAGCGAAACACACTTCGACAATTGTATTCAGTTACAGTAACTCAGTTCCCACGCTGGGAAGGATGGCGGTGGAACAGCATGGTGAAAGGTCCAAAGACTTGAAGGTGTTTTAACATTGAGGTTTCTCATCTGCAGTGGCGCGACGACGACGCGCGCGAGCCCACGATGGGAAGGAAGGCGATGGAACGGCATGGTGAAAGGTCCAAAGACTTGAAGGTGGTTTAACATTGAGGTTTCTCATCTGCAATGGTGCGATGACGACGCGCGCGAGCCCACGATGGGAAGGAAGGCGATGGAACGGCATGGTGAAAGGTCCAAAGACTTGAAGGTGTTTTAACATTGAGGTTTCTCATCTGCAGTGGTGCGACGACGACGCGCGCGAGCGGCGAGGGAAAGGGTTTAGGGGAAGTAGCATGAACCACCATGGAAACAAACAAAGAAAGAGTGGAGTGACAGCTTGTACAACAGTTCGGCAGGTACGTTTGCAGCCCCCCCCAGTGGCCTCTTCGTTGGCCATCCGCCAATGGGGAGGGGGATGGCCCCCTGCATTCAAAACTCTTAGTTACAAAGGTGGAACCCTTAGATACAGGGGGTGACACACACACACACACTTGTTCGTTGAATCTTGGGAAGAGAATCGGAAATACAACAACACACAGGGAGCAGTGAGGACAGCACCTGAAAGCTGACAGCATCTGAACGATTCCAGCTCCGAGGAACGACCGATTCTAGGAACAAAGGGCATCGCTACGAACGGAGCAAGGACGCTACCAACGGGGCTTTTCCCAAGAACACATGCGGATATGTGGCTTTTCTCAAGATGAAAGGATGGGAACTCCGCAGAATGGCGGTCAGGTGATGTCCAGGTGATAATTTTCCTTAACAAACAGGTGGTGTTCCAGTTTGATGATGATTTCAATGAGTCTATATTTTGGGGGAGGTAGATATTGATCCACAGCCATGTGTAACCTCTCTACAGCAAAGGCACCCCGTGATGCGTAGCTCCCCGCTCGTCCCACACGTCGTGACCACGCCCTGCACTGCTCCCTGCAGCTGCGCTGGCGCCGCAAAAGTGGGTCCCCGCAGCAGGCAGCCCGCAGGCGGTATGCCCGGCCTCAGTGGTGTGGTGGATCAATAGTTGAAAATAGCTCATGGAACAACTTCCCGCAAACAAATACCTGTGGCATCTGGGGCTTGCGAAGTGGCAACAATCCGTGTGGCGTTCTTGAATGTGAGATGACAAGGAACAATTGCCAGTGTGGCTGGCCTGACTGGCCTACAGTCAACAGAACCAACCATTCTCTGCAGGCCAACTGATGCCAAGTGTACCGAACAGGAACCGCTCAACTAAGACAGAACCAGGCTGACATGCGGTAAAACATCCAAACATTGTTTCTGATCAACAAGTGGTCAATGTGATTTGACAAAGGAGACCTCACCGCATTTCTCCCTGCCGCAACCAAGTCGCTGGAGCTGAAAGCATCCACCAGAACTCAGCTGACGTTCACAAAGATCTGCCCAGCTGATCGATTCACAGTCCTTCCAAGATGCGAACATTTGCAATATCCACTGAGTGTTGGCCGACTGTTCGCTGTCTTAGCAGTTTTAAGTTTTACTTGTATTGGCTAGTTTCATCTCAACTGCGAATTGATTGTTGTTTCGCTGGATTCAACCCCTGAGGAGGTGGTAAATTCATGTACCAAACATATTGCAAGATATGACGCACACCCATGCACACCCAGCTGATACTTATCCGATAGAACCTATCAGTAAACCAGCATCTCTCTCCGTCTCTCTTCGTTATTGGACCTCTTGCAGTTGTCGCACATCTGATAGATTGGCCAATGCGGGCGTGGGGCCTCAAAAAGGGGAGCAACGCCACGAATCGTGCGGTATGCTCTGTGACAAATCCAAGAGTCAGGTGGTGTGGCAGTTCTTTAAAAATAGCAGATATGTTGGGGACGCCCTCTGTCTTTTATGAAATCTATTTCTCATGTAGTTGTGATTCAAGGGAAAACACTTTTTCTTGTAGAGAACGTAGCAGTCAGTTGCTCGATCACAATGATGAACCCCAGTCAAGTGGCAAATGCACATACTAATAGCCATCAGGGTCCCTATGATATACCATACATATATGCTGGTTGCTCAATATTCTTTCATCCTGGAATGGCAATTCTTCGCGAAAAAATACTTTCCGCGGATCTTTCGCGGCCTCGTCGCGAAGCATGGTCCTACAACCATGTCTACCTAATATGAGCCGGGGCTATTCATAGTATCACAAAATAGGGACAAACATCCTGCAGCATGCCGCCAGCAGAAGGCTGAGAGTTTCCACAGCTACTCAGGGTCACTTGCAGCATCTGTGCGACAACTCAAATAGAATTAGGCATAACTCAATCCAATCCTCGTGCCAGCTACTAACACAGGGTAATGCAGCTTAGGGAATGCTGGGGGGTCTCAAGCTATGAACCTGGACTTTAGCGGCATATTCGCGAAGCTTTCGCGGATCTTTTGCGAAAATTCACTGATCATTTGCCGGGAAGGCGTAACAATTGCAAACATCTGCACAGCCCGTCAGAGCAACTGCGGGTCGTTGCCTCACTATCAAGGCTGTGCCTACTCAGGTTGCTAGTCTGCGAAAGTGGAGACAGGAATCGGAGAATTCTTTACGCAGTACCAGGACTGGGCACGGAAATGTTGAGGCTTCAATGGGGATATGCGGGGACACTTCCGCCCACCGACTCTGCCGGAGGATTGCCTTGTATTTCTAATATTTGTCGGTCGGCGGAAAGGAAAACATATGACCTTCGATAAATCTTTCGCGGAAAAACACATTATACTTTCGCGCACCTCATCGCGAATCTTTCGCGGATGGTTTTAACAACACTAAAAGGCAATTTTATATAAAATTCCTTGCACAGAGTTTTCGATCACGAGCAATATAACAAACCGCTTGTGACATGTCTACAATTCATCGTTTACCTCGACCTCTCCTTCCGAATTAAGCCAAACTACGCGGCTTGACACGCTTGACCCGCAGCTCAACAAAAGCGCTAAGAAGAAGCGCTGCCCAAATCGCAAGAAGCCACGTCATAGCATTAACTGTGGGCGGTAATGAGGCCTAAAAACGCCTAAAAATCCAGGATCCTGCATTTAAATAGTGGATACGAAGATTAGATTTCTTACTATTAAATTCTTTTGTAGACCAAGACCATGGAGCGTTTTATACCGAAATCGTTAGGCTGGCTTGCGACGTAATGCTAATACAACGAAACACCCATTTTTAAAAAAGCCGCCTTAAAAACATAGCTTAAAAACTCAACAACGTCAAGTAGTTTCATATAGGATCATTTATATTAATATAATATAATATGCTATTTATTAATTAAATTCTTATATAACTTATATAACTTAAACATACAATGTAATATAATATAGTATAATATAATATACTATAGTATAATATAATATAATATAATTATGTACACGTATATTATGGACTTCAATTTTAAACTTTATGTTACTTTTTGTGATGTCATGTAATTTCAATCGTTCTGCCAAGATCACCTCAAAACAAAAACACTCAAAAAGCAAGAAACATCCAGAAGCCACCTCATCTATTTTCCTCTTGTATATAACTATTCTCAAAAACAAACAAGAAAAAGCTGAGCTAAACCGCTGCAACCAGTCGCAGTCTCGCAGTCAATGGCCACTCGGCCCTCCCTTGAAGAAGCTGTCGGGGACGACACTGGCTTGAATGCCTGGGAAAAAGGATCTGGCTCAAAGGTAAGTCTTTTTGAAGCTTTGAAGCCGCTGAGGTGACCTTTTAAAGACCCGCGTCTGAAATGAAATCGTTGAAGGCTTCAATTCAACCGTAGAGCCTCATGATATTGTCATTGGAGTAGCTGACTCTTGTCCCACAACTCTCTTGCCGCGGGAAACACTTCTGCGAAAAAGAAATGCTGGGAGATGCTATTTTTGGGAAATGCTTCAACTTGCTTCAACCAAAACACATCGGAGAACTATCTTAGCGTATGTGGAAACTAAATCAAATCTCAAGTGAAGCAAAACATCAAAGAACAACTCCCGTGCTGTTGATGGACAAGTTCTTTTGCATACTTACATGTTCACCATGAGAACTGAGAACCCCCAGATTTGTACATATGACTCTAGCAAGTTGATACAAATTGGTACTGTATATTGCGGTTTTCTTTCTGTCAGATTTTGTCAGGCAAAGTGGCACCTGGTTCTTTACCATCCTGGGCTGGGTGACAAGGTTCTGGGCGGCTCTGACTGAAACAACAGTCCCCTATGCCACCAAGCATAAATGAATGATTGGATAGCTATCACATGCTATCAGGATCTTTTGAGCAACTTGGTGTCCAAAAAAACCGACCCGACTTACTCCCCCTTTCCCCTCTTTGTCCGTCACTCGGTCCCAGCACCGTTCCGGCCCAGCTCGTTCCCGTACTCCTCGGCCGCCACCTTCGGCACGATGCACACCTTCGGCACCGTGCGTCAACGGTCATCGCTCGACAGAACTCCACAGAACATGGAACCACCCATTTCATGTTGAGCCAACCGTCTCCGTCTCAACGGTTCAACGCTCAAATCGGGAGCTGGTACTTGTTCAACATCGACCGAGCTTTTTTTGGAAGGCTTTTGAACCCAAAAACAACTCAGCTGCGTTTTTTGGACATATGGAAATAATGGTATCCAATAACATGTTGCTTTTCATTGAAACACGGCTCTCTGCTCTTCCTGAAACATGTTTTTGGATCTCGCACCGACCGGTCCCGAGCGTGACCGCCCCGGACACCCCGCACCGTGACCACGCCGATGCCACTGGGGTCAGCGTCGCCCGAGCGCCAGCACTCGCGAGTGAGGATCTGCGCCTGGGATGAGTCTTCAGGGTCTTTATGGTCATGGGAGAAACAAGGTCACCCCGCAAAGGACACCCCGAACATCCCCGAACCATTTGTATTTGGATGTAATTACATGGGACGGTTCGGAGGCCGAGAACGAAAGGTTGAATGCCTGTGCTTCATTCGATCTGGTCGGCAGTTGTTGGGTCTGTCCAAGGTCCAAGGTCTATCCTTTCCTAGGAGCATCAAATTCTACACATTACATGATGGTATGGCTAAACTAGTTTCATTGCAGGTGTGATAGAGAGAGGATTCATGCATTGGGACTTGGGATATCTTGGGATGTAAGATTCGGGTCAGAGATTTGGGATTCAGGATTTCATCTCGCTGAAGAAATCACCAAGGCTCCCAAGCTTGCAGTGAGGTGGGTGGAAGTATAGCTTGCACTAGATCGACAGGTGTTCAACACCTGGCTTCGAAGTATCCCGCAACCTGCGGTGCATCATGCAAGGGCGTTGTATCCCGGACGACATCTAACACCCATGACATCTAACGACCAACTCCGGGTGACATAAGAAGTCATGGCAGCAGGGCCCAGCAGGGTGGTTACAACTTATACAGTAACACCGCACCATTTTTCAGGTCTTGATACCTTTTCCTGTTGAGTCTCGGACCCTTTGTGATCTGTAAGAAGCGAAAACTAGACTGGGTGTTCCAAAGGGGCGGCGATTGGAGGATAGGAGTTCCCAAGTATCCACTGCTCCTAGGGTCCGTCCAAAGTCAACACACGCTCCTTTGCAACGGCTAGTTCATCGTTTCATATCGTTTCATATCGTCTCGTTTTTGGCTTTCCACAACCTTTCGCATCTCCCCCAAAAAAGGCATCGTGCCCCGCCTTCTTGTGAGAGATCAAGGGCACCGATTTCCTCATCTGTCGCCAATCAGGACCCTTCCGGAACAATCTGACTTGTGGGAAAATACGAGTACTGGCACCTTGCAGTGCACGTGTGGTTTTCACTCCTCTGGTTGATAGCCGTCCAAGTCGGAGTCCGATATTGGGACCTCCACTTCCTAGGTGTTTGAATCTGAACCTCACGGGTCATTGAGCTGAACCATGTGGTGCAGAAGTCCATTGAATCCCTGACTCTTTGCCCCCAAACCAGTGGATCTCACTTTTTCAGCAATGTCAATGACCTCATGAACACAACCAGTGGTCATCTACCAGTAATCATTTGAAGGAATTCCATAACTGTACATAGGACCCTAACCCAATGGCGTTCATCAATCTGGTATGCTCACAGCACAGGAAACACATGGACCCACACCCTCGCCAATGACGGAGGGACGCGATTAAACAACAAAAGGACGAGCACACACACACACACACACCCGCCCACTCGTGCACTATTCATCAAACATAGATTTCAAGAACGTATAGTAGGCTGTAGCTTTTCCCTTGTAGGCTAGACAATGCTACCCTTGCCATTGCCCAGAAGAAGCACACGATCTAAACATACGTTGGTCACACCCCAGGATATGTAGGGTACTCCCCTCATATTCCCTTCGAACGACAAATCCACCACCGTCTATCCACCCACCCCAACAACGAGGCGTCTTGAGTCAAGGTCGAGTTGCGTCAGGATATCGGTGTAGGCTTCCCATGACATGTCCTGGCATGGTTAGTCGATGTCAGTTGAAAGAGGTGGTTGTTGCTCAGGAAACAAGCCAAGCAACCCAGGCACCCCAACGTCCAAACGAAATGCTTGTACATTGAAGATTCTCACATAGTCACATCGACAAAGAGACTGGACATGGTTTTCTAAAGCTCCAGCACTTCAGAGATATTCAGTGCATTGTTGTCAAACTAGCTTATAATCACAGTGGTGTGGGATGTTCATTAGTGCTAAACTAACCCAGAAACACATAAAACACAATAGACAATAATACATAGTTTAGGGACCCCTCTTCACAAAATCAAGCCCCAACCTCGAAGAAAAAACACTGCTCCTGTTGATCTTTTACTGAATCTATCATTGCAATATTAAGTGCTATGGAATCCACAGGTTGGATCAAACAACAAAAATACTCCACTGGGTTCTTTCTGTGCAAAAAAGTGGACATCAAAGAGCAGCACAACTCAAACTTGTCCTTGCGACCAAACCAGCCATGCTCATTCACCGGCGATTCCTAAGGTGAAGCCTTCAGACATGTCATCCACCCGCCCACCAGCAAGGATGCTACTAGGGGCTCCTGGCATCGCGACTAGGAGCAAGGTTCGCTACTACGGGCTCCTGGCCTTACTAGGAACAAGAAGCTATTATTCACCAGCTCATCTTCGGATCCGAAGATGTGTTCATCGTGTATGGAACTCCCAACGGCACCGAGGCCCCCACGCAGCGGGTGCCCTGGGTACCTTCGGCTTTTGCATCACCCTTGAGACCTCGGCCGTTTGTTTCTCTGTGCGAGTCGAGAAGGGAACGAAAACACCTCGTTGGGAGAGGGACTCCAAAGTCTCACGAAAATAGAGACATCTCAGGAACTGAGGAATTGGATGGAATTACATAATATGTGGATTCGTAGGATCCATCGAAGCGTGAAGGTTTAGTGCTACTATGCGAATCACTAATCATAGATATAGAGCTGTGCTCTCAAAGCATACTAAATCACTTTGCTCAACGGAGACAACCACTACACTGCAATCTACCATTTCAGTGGTGCAACTGTCTTTGAAGTCGTCGTTGGAAATCTCTGCCATTTCCAAACCACTACTCATACTTTTTGCTGAATATTTTCTCTGGAGAAGCTGCATTAACAAGAGTCTATAAGGGTATCTTGTCTGGAATAGGAGGGCATTGACATTGATAAGAACTCGATGAGGTCTTGGCAAGGTGATGTGCAAAAAGAGGCTTCGCTGTGGCCTTTCTCAAAGTATGTTGATCTAAGTCTTACAAACACATTCCAAACCCTGTGGGTTGATCTAAGTTGATCTAAGTATTCTGTATCGGTATCGTTTGTCCAAACCCTGTGGGAAACAGGTGACCCTGACCACGCCCCAGCTGATGGGTCTGGGTCTCTTTGGACTGATGCATCGTACCTCTTTGGCCTCTTTGGTGCACACTAGATTCCGATTCATACCCAGCACCTCTTTGAAGGGGAAGTCCAACCCCACGGAGCGTCGGGGAGTTCAGACTGGATGAGTCATCCAACTGTTTGAAGGATCTTGAAGGGTCTTCCTCCCACACCCCACGCAGGTGTGACAGTCATGCCATGTGACAGGTGTGCTTCCGCCAGGGCAGCTTGCACCAAGGTGTTCGGCAAGCCGTGCAGTAGGCCAAGACCCTGATGACACTGTCGGCTTTCAGGTGGCAAGTTGAAAAAGACTGAACTGGTCCAAACAACACTTGCTTGCAAGCTGTCCTCTCGAGGACAGCTGGAGAATGATATTGCTACGATATGTCTCAGGCTATTCCAGGGTCTGATCCTCTAAAACAGAACGAACATAACATAGCATGGATTCCAGGAAAAATGGGAGGAATGACAGCAAACATGACGATGCTGATGATGCTGGTGAACGGATTTGGGATGCTGACGATTCATTGTTGTCAAAAGACTTGTCAAAGACTGTTGATCTCATGAGCGCAAGGACTCTGCTTGCGGATTCAGCCTTGGTTTGGCTTCTTACAACTCGGTTCACTGCTGTGAAGTGCACATTTGCTGTATCAAGGCTTCAATGATGAATTAGTTGAATCACTCAGCTTTGCTTGCGGGGTCAAATCTTTCGGGGTGTAAGAAACCATTGGGTCTGGCTTTGTTGCAGAGGGGTCCTGCTGCTGCTCAGTGGGGCATACACTTATTCAATCTTTTTCAATGTCAATTAATTTTCCACAGGACGATCACGACTTTTGAGGAGGCTTTGTTTGGTTTGTGAGAATGGACCATCTCCAGGAAGCCTTGGTTTTATCACTGCAGCCCAAACTTCCTGGCTGTCCAAAACATTCCATCACATCGATCTGCAAAGAGGCCCGACGCAGTCGCGTGACGTCCGAAACTGACGATTGGGCCTCCAATACATCTCTTCCTCGGGCTTCTCGACGGCCTGGCGATTCCGCGCTGCTAGGACCTAGGATATTTTTCGATCAGATCCAGAGATCCCAAGCAAAACATTGCTAAATACACAGCTATAGGTGATAGTAAAGTTTGTTATATATATATAATCAGAGAGAATCAAAGTATGTCGGATGTCACATGAATTCGATCAATATGCACTCACCTAAGAAACGAACAAAGAGTAAGGCAAATGTTCATTTACTGCACAGTTGTCCGTCGCAAACTCGAGGGCCGGCCGAGCTAGTAAAAGTACTTAGGCCGAAGATGAAAAGGGGATCGGCTCTTCAGGCAATATTTACAATTGGATTCTTCACATTCTTCATGGTTCTTCATATTTGGGATGGCTAGGGACATCGATGAACAAACGGAATCATGAACACTGGTGGCCGGAGTCGCGGCACTCTCAAAGGAGATCAGACTGGACCCGGTCATAAGATGTCATGAGTAGGTGTCATTATAGTGTTTCGAGAGGTTATCACTTCTCACTAATCATCACTTATTCCATCTTCCACTTTTTTTTTTTGTGCGCCTTCACGCGCTCATCGAGCTCGCTCATCTTCTTGGAGATGGTGATCGAGGCCTGGGCTACCATTTTCATGGGCACCCTATTGGGTCTACGGTTGTATCGTCATTGCCACCGAAGAACCCTGAGTAGTATGATGAGGCTTTGAAAACCCCGCTTAGAAGTAGAAAACAAAAGATTTACATAAGTGACCGAACACACTCAACAGTGTTGATCAGTTCTGGTCATTGTTTTGTTTTGGGGGATGATTGCAAACAAGCCCTGAAATTTCATCTCACCGAGGTTGGTAGCAGTGTGAACAAAATAACCATCCCTTCACCACCGTCTGATTTCATGCCGACAAGGAGCTGGTGTCGCTCGTAAAGCGGTAGGGGTCGCTGTGTCGCTGGCCCTGCCCGCAACAAATGCGCACGAAGCAACTAAGTACAGCCTTCACACACACACAAACGCATGGGCCTGATCGAGGTGAAGCAAACACTCCTTCGCACCAGGAGGCAACCTCGGTCAGGGGGCAACTTGGTGCTAAGACATGCCGTGCTGCTGTTTTGCAATTATAGCTGTACAATGCCGTACATAGCTGTACAACATTGTAAAGCTGTATAACTGTAAAGCACAAAACCCTTTGAAAGAGCAAAATCTACGCTCTGGCACGCTACGCGATTCCAACACTCAAAGTCAGAGTCTGGGGGGGATCCTGCCAATGTTCCTGGCTTATCAAACTAGGGGATCCTGCCAGTCAGCCGGAAGGATACAACAAACAAACCGCCGATCCTTGGAACCAGGTAACTAGCCGCCACTTGGAACCAGGTGTGACTGGCGGACATTGAGCATCAAAATCCATGTTTCCATCATTATCATTATCAAAAACTCAGGGTCTCCTTGTGCGGATCCGGAAAGACTAAACTTTTTCCATACCAAATTTACGTTGAAATAGTGGCAAACACATGCAGGGTACGACAGCCATAGCAGCAAAGAAGTGGAAGTGGACATGTCGATGGTCGGTGAAGAGACAAACTGGGAAAACCTTCACACACATAAAGTTCGTAGGTCTCCACTAGATTCCAGTCACTAGATCTCTGCCGATTGTCTTCCAGCACCTGCAATTCATCCAACTCAACTTCAGCTGAATGCGGAGTCTCATTATTCTTTTCTTCTTTCATGCGGGTTGGTCTAGTCTAGTGGCTGTCTCCATGATTGCAATCTCTTCTGCTTCCAACAACTGAAAGGTTCCTCAAGGACAATGCAGCAGCACTGCTTCTCCATCTAAGTCTAGGTGGGGAGTGTGGAAGCATGTCGACGGACCTTGTCATGATCAAAGCACTGATTGAACTTCTTGCCCAATCCTGTTGTGTGTCAGATCACGGACTCTACACTACAAGTAGGAAACGCAAAGCAAATCTGCCAGGTTCCTGCACTTTCATTCCGTTGTGTCTCTTCTGTTCTTGAGGCGGGAGAGCAAACTTCTCAACCCCTTTTGGCCAACCGTCCGTCTGGACTAAGTTGACCACATTTGACCACACCGTCACAAGGACTCCTTCCCTCTCTGGGTTCTCCGGCCACAAACAAAAAGACCAAGTAGCCGCACCTGGGCCGAAGGCGGCCGGTTCGCGTGGCTGCTACACCCGGAAGAAGGGGGAAGACCTCCCACACCCACCAGACCTGGGAAATACTGCTGCATTGATACGACTGTGTTGGACAAGCCATCGGAAGATGCATAAAACACGCTGCAACAACCCCAGTCCTTTCTGTGTCCTGTTACCCGTGTATTCGGGATGCGCTTACCCTGGAAGCAAAACTACTGTATTTGATGGACCGGAATAGTCTTTGACACAGGAGATTGAGGTGCTACAAGCCCATTGGCAAAAGATTCACTTGCTGGTACGAAAACAATCCCACAGTACCCTATAGGTAGATGTCCTCCAAAAGTCGTGTTAAGCTTTTAATGCACCAACGACCAACGCTAGAATCTGCAAAACAACCGCATCCTTCGAAGCATTCCTGAACATTCAACATATTGAGGTACTATCAAAAACTATTTACGCATTGAAGATCATTGAAGTGTTTGTTAATGCCCAAAGAATGTTTAATAACTTCGATCATCTTCAATCTATTGGAGTCTTGTGGGCCAACCCAGGTCAAACGCGTCTTGCGATACTTCGCAAAACATGCGGAAACCGACGGGAGCACCTGCGGTGACCTCCCGCGATAGGGCAGCTCCTGAGAGGAGCCACCAACGAAGGCGCAGCGAAGCTGGAGTGCGTTGATCTGAAGACAAGGATGGTGCAGTTGATGATTCCAAGGAACTTGGCACTATTTGGAACTTGTTGCATGATTGTTTTGGTGCAAGTTGTTTTGATGTGCTCGCTGATTCTTTGTGGCTGCACATCTGATGGATCTCTTGCTGCTTGAAGCCACACTTGTTTGCTCTTGGTTTCATGACTACAATTGTGCACAATGGTGTTCAGTGGTCTGGGAATGGTTTTCAGCAGTCTGCTAGTAGCTGAATCAAACCATCAGTATACCGTCGTTGCCGCCCATGAGTAACACTTCGTCAGATACCCACATCATCATAATGCACCACATGCGCCACATGTCAAAGGACGTGGATTGCGCCTTCAATACGTTCATTGACAATGACCTGTTGGTCATCCAGGCAATCAGATCCCTTGGCAGCATGGAGGTTCCAAGTGCCTACGTGTTCCCGGTGCAGGACGGTGGGATCGTCCATTCCAGTGGTGGCCCATGATCTCTTCTCTGCGGTGGTTTGACGTCAACACGGCTTTGCAAATGAACCAAAGTCTATCCAAGGTTGTGCAGTTGTGGCGGTTCTTGAGGGGTTACCACGTCCGTGTTGACACACACACGCACACACACATCACACATCCAGCAAGCTCACAAACCTGTGAATTCCCACGGGTCACCTACGTGTTTCTAAACTATCTCCCTGCCGACCTTTATGGGGACCATGAAAGCGGTTGGTTCGTAGAGGAACATGGTCTTGCAGGGGTCCAATATTCAGTCTCCTTGCAGTCCATGCTAGCTGTCAGTTTCCAGCAGGGTATCTTCTTCATCCAGGAATCGGTTGAAACATTGTGTGAAAAAAACATAATAAATATATATATATATATATCTGTGGTATACACAGTACAATGTTATATCTTCCACGTGTGTGCATACATGTGCATACCATTATTGCATACCCATAGACAGCTTGCTGATCGAAAAACACGCACGAGGCCCACGATCTTGTCCTCTGGTCGTGCACCTTAGGATGGGGCGGCTTGTGCTCGTCACAGTGGGCCACACGTGAGATGTGGCTCGTTGGGCGGTCGAGGTGATTCAATTTGTACTCCATCCGGTTGTCCCGGTGTTCCAATTCTATTTGAAATACTCTAAATCTTGGTGATAAGTCTGCAAGATGCTGGTTTATCTCCTCTTGCTTGCTTGGTTTGTCTATGATTCTAAGGTTGGTCAGCTGGTGAATATAGGCTGACTACTTCTAGATATATTGTTTAACCGTTCTGATGGTAGACAGTATATCACTGAATCTTTACTATATTTCCACAATATCAATGATGCAATCGCCTTCTTTGTGTTGGCGGGATTTCTGGGGTGTCAAAGCGGTTGAACAGGTACATTCTTTGGTGGTGCGGGCATGCCGCCATGACAGTGTCCAAAAGGCATCTTGCAAGGTTTCTGTAATGCCATGTCGCCCACTCCGACAGAGTGTCACACTTTCGTGCTGTTGATGGGCAGGTAAACCTTTCAATCCATCTATATACTCCAAGATAAACGGTACTGGGAAACCCAATGCAGCTACCAAACAACCTCAAATGGCTCAAGCGCATGTGCTTTAGACTCCAATCAGGGCGTCCACCCATGTCAATAGGGAGAGTCTCAAGGGACGTCGTGGTCCCTCATCCGTGGACGTCACTGGAAGTGCATTCGGAAGGGTCTGGAACTCTCCGGCCACGGCAGGGTCTCTGTGATGTCGCCTCTAATTTCACAGTGTCACATGCAGCCCAAGCACTCATCCTTCGCCGACAGCGACAAGGGATGGAACAACAAGCTATGGTGCTCAGCAAGGCACAAGCCAATGTGATGATGTGAAACAAACTTGTAAGAAATAACATAACAAATAATTTACCTGCTCTGATGACCTGTTCTTTCAACATTTTGATGACACATTGGTCTTTGTCCCTAGGTGCTTGTCCCTCAAAACACACATCACATAAGCTGAAACTTCTCAAATGACCTGTTTTCGAATGATGGTCCTGGACAAACCTTGTAACTGCTGCCAGCTAGTCAACCATTCACTGGTCAGCCATGATAGTCCTGTGGTAATTGGTGTTCCTGATTCAATACATCCCCCAAACCATGTCACGTCAACCCACGATATCGATCTGCCAAAGCTATATATTATAGGTTTCAGTTGCCATCATTCGCACTCCTGCAACTCATGCCGATTGCTGAGCTAATTAGTGTGCGCATATATATATATATAATCGAATCTTACCCATAATCAAGAGTAATTGGTGCAGGGGGCATCCGATGTACATTTTCCAAAGTTTATCGGTTTAGAGATGTCTAGATGAGGCTCGATGTTGCATGTCTCTTTTCCGCAGGACATGTCAGGAACATCCCTCACTTGTTTGCAGGTTCCCTGTCAGCCTACCGTGGCCAAGGGCACCCACACACGGGCGCGAAACACCTTGAGCCGAAACTGGAGAACCAGCAGCGTACATTTTATGCAGCAGCTTGCAGCCAGTTTGCCCGCCAAACAATCATGTTCTAAGATGTCTTTGTTTGATTCAATAGCTCCAATGGATAGGTTCTTTCAACCTGCTAACCAAAAAATGATTAAACTTCTTCAGTAACTTGATGTCAAAACCACGAAACAAATCCGTTCTCACATCGGGCAACCCAACTTTGAACTTCTCAAACATGGTGGAGCCACTGGGCAGGACGATCTGCAAAGGAAAGTGGTTTCGAACAGCCAAAAAGCGGGAGGACACGACATGAGGTACTATTAAATAGAATTATGCAGGAAACTAATTGTAAAATACTGTAAATGATGATGGGTGGTGCAGTGTAGCTGGCAACTGTGACGTGCAAAATGGTCCCTTGTGGAAAGGGCAGCCAAAAACGCCGCACCACCACGCATCGTCCGCAAAGGCTTTTCGTGCCAAGCATGATTTACACAGAACTTGCAGGCGTTGATCCTTATCGAAAACTCTGCCAACCCAAAGTGTCATAATGTGTCATAGAAACAGACCATTGCGGACTCTGAATGCCACATGATGCCACCAGGATCAGAAATACGATCCATTCACTCGAATGACATCATCACGTCCAAGACGCTCCCGAGCTTTACGGGCAAAGTCATCAAACGCACGGCCTGCCAGGACAATCCTCACACGCACATGCTGCTTGCCGGCCAGCTTCATGCACAGGAAACGCCTGTGGTCTAAAGTCCAGTAGAGCGCATGGCCGTTGAGACAAGCCTTGGCCACATTCAGCACGAAGTTTGGGTGCTTCAATTCATTGACCTGGCCGTTTTTCAATTGCCGAATGGTCTGCTCGAGTGTTCTACCATCTCGGAACCGACTGCTGCACCGCTGCTGGAGGTTGAATACTGCACCAATGGGGACGGTGACAACCTCTCCAGTCTCCTCAATCTCTTCCTTCACATCCCAGTTTTTGCAACTTTCGGAATGAAAATCCAGGAGACGGGCACGAAAGCGATCCCAAAGCAATTCATCCCCATGGTGATCACTACATTCCTCCTCAGGAAAAAGCTTGAACCCCACGATCTCCAGATCCAGCCCGCCATCGTCACGAAACTTGCCACGCATGTCGGGCGACCTGCTTCGGGCCTGCGATCGCCTCAAAGGCTGCCCGCAGTGCATGCAAAAGCGGGCATGGTCAGGCATCCCTGAGTGGGAACATTGAGGTGCTTCGCTACAAATAGGAGATGCTTCGAGAAGAGACGCATGCCCCGGTTGAAGAGAGCTTGCATGTGAAACTGGAGGTGCTTCGGGAAGTGAGCCTGCACGTGCATCGTGCTTAGCACAGGCTCGCACGGCGAATGCCTCAACCTGGTCCACCTGACACGAGACTGACAACTTGTCGGAGTTGTCGCCGTCACAAAAGCCAACGCGGGGGCAGAACCGGGCTGCTGTAGTGGCACAACAATGGAACAAGTTCATGTCGTGCTCAGACCATGCCGCCTCCCGACCAAAGGTCGCTCCATGCTCTGCACCACAAAAGATTCCTGTTTTTTTGAACCGGCCCCAAACGATGGGGTATTTCCGCTTGTTGGCGCCAGAAATGGAGAATAAGAAAGCGTGCTTGCACTGCTTCCACTGAGAGTTGCAATCCCAGGACATGTCAGTGTAGCCCCCAAACAAGTAACCGTCTGTTTTCCTGGCCACCACTACTGTGGGCCCTTGCCTGTCGCACCTATCATGGAAAGCCGCAGCGCAAAAACCATCATTGGAAGCTCGAAACAAAAGCTCAAAGGTATGACTGCCATGAGGGTCTGCCTCTGCAATCCAATGTGCCAGCTGCAACTGCTGCTCCGGACTGAGCAGGACAGTCTCAAAGCACTGCATCGTGAGTCAAAGTGCGAGGGTCACATGGCTGCAAAACAATCATGCCTTGATCAAAATTCTTTCAGTCACATTATACGATCACAATGTTTCCAACATATGTGGTTGCTCTTCCTGGACATGTTTGATGCACCACAATACGTCCTTCCTCAACATAAATGAACATGTATATAATCAAAACTCTCACAGAACAAAGGCCCTGATGAAATTACCTGACAACTCCGGGGATGCAAAACAATCTGCTGGCAATTCTTGGTCCTGACATGGCCCAGTGTTTCATCAATGTTCATTGGCACAACTTGTGAGGGCCCTGAAGTGTCGTGACACAGGTGAGGCTACAAGATCAATGGTGCGGCATGTCTTCTTTTGCCCAAATCGATTCGTCTTTCCAACGTGTTGATGGTTGGGTCCAATCGGGCTTTGGTTACAGTAAAGATACTCTCCGCACCACGATCTGTCTTGCCAAATCTTGCCCATAAGTATAAGTCTTTCCGGGTTTGGTGTTGTGGGCTAATCTAGCCAAGTATGTATGCCAGGCTAGGCTAGTCATCTTTCAACCATTGCATTTGTACATTCATGAAGCCAAGCTGTCGCCCCCCACAAATGTTGCATAATATGTGTATATAATTGTATATACATATACATGTTACATATATATATATATATAGTGTATATATAATATAGAGAAACGGTTCTATTGTTAGCGGAATATAGCGGAATATAAGGGCAAAACACGGTGGTCACTTGTTTTTGATGCTTTCTGCCTGTCACATATCTACTCTTTGTTGAACTCAGCTTGACGACAACATGTTCAAAACTAAATCAAGAAACCGTAACCTGCTGTCGATCTCCCTGACTTTGCTGCCTAGATGGATTGAACTTGCTTGCATTATATGACTTGTCCAATCACACCTGCAAATACGATGAATCATGGATATCCATGAAGGGCCTTCTCTCAGGTGGAGCAATTCTTCTGATCACGAAATGGTTGGACCATGTCGGACCTTTCTTCCTCGAATCGATCTTGTGGCTTCGACCGCCCAGCGGTTCCGGCCGGCTCCAGTCCACCTGGCTTTCTGCGCAGATTCTCCGGCAGTTTCTGCCCGCAGCAAGTAAAGGTTCGGTGCGTGGGGTGTATCGAGATCTGAAACAGTAAGCCAGGAATGGCCATTTCAATTTCTTATGTCCTTTGTCCTAGTCCAAGTGTACGGGTGGAAGTCATCCGGCAAATGGACGATCCAAAGATGAATCAATAGTGATTGTTTGGGAGGTCAAAACATGTCAAAACCAGACCATGGCGCCAAATCACGCCCAGCAGAACCGCCAGTTGGTTGGTACGAATCTGTAAACGTGGCATAAGGTAGCATGTTTGACGTTGGTCTGTATCAACATGTATCAACTGACTCATTGATGGGTTCCAAAGACCCCTAAGACCCAACCGTCCGTCCACCAGCGTGGGATGAATCCCCCGATCCGCTCCACCCGTCTGTACCTTCAAGGAACGACAGGTTCAGCCTGACATACCCAAACCATCCATGGGACTGGAAGAGTTACTTACTTCAGGGTCATCAGCCCGGGGTTTCTTTGTATGCATAGTTAGACACATGCCAATGGATGTTCCAGGATGTCTTCGATATGAGCTCCATCTAAACAGGTACGGAGCATTGCACCGTTTTGTCTTCCGCGCCGTCTGATCGGGTTGTCGTCAGGAATGTCTCTGGTGGGCACAGCTTGCTAGGCATCTCGGGAGAAGCCAAAGGCTTCATAGTCTTGAGCATAGAAGTCTTCCACAAGCTTGATGGTCTTTCGCGTGGGAGAGAAGTCATGGCAATCGTTCGACCGATGGTTCCAGTATCCCTCGAGGTCAACGGACAAGCCATAGCTCTTCATCAAGGCAGGAAACTCATGGTCGATTGAATCCATGTGCAGCACATGGCGGCAAATCTGCGGCTGCTGGGGATCACCTTTCTCAAAGACGTAGTAGACTTGCGGCACGAGAAGACAACCATTGAGTCTATTCCTATGGACACCTTGGATTTGCTTAAGGCTCTTGGGAAGAACAAACAACAAACCTTAGCTTTGGTCTCTATCAAGTCTCTAGTATTTTAAGGTGAAGTCAAATCTCTTATGGGGCTCCAACTATCAAACAATCAATAATTTTTAAAGCAATCCAGAACGCTCAAATCCTTCAAGTGCTTCACAGCATAGGTCTCCAAAGCTTTAGGACTGCAATAAGACAGGTCGTCTTCGTTCCGGTGAACCCACAAGAATGAGCTGATGAATCGATCCACTGGATGCCGCAAGATACAGAAGGTGTCGCACTGGACATAAGATTCTGCTAGCGTTGGATCCCAGGCAGGTGGGAAGTGCTGGAAATGGCATTGATCGACAGGAGCATCTGTGCCAGCTGGAACACCACAATGGCTGATGTTAATGCGATTCGAGCAATTGAGGTGATCATCACAGTATCCCCAGAACCTCTGGTTGGATGAGGTTCTGTTGCCAGCAGCCCAGTTGGCACACGTGTCATTTGAGTCTGCTGGGTTCACGCCAAAGGCAATGTTTCCAGCAATTTCAACTGTACCACCCATGTTCTTGGGAATGTGAATGAATGACAAACATGACTTCATTGGCGCATCGTTCATCGCCTGCCGCATTTGGATCAATGCCTTCCCATGGCTGGGAGAAATCTCGCAATCTACACCATCAGTGCCAGCCGGGCAGATTCCAAGCAACAAGGCAGCAATATGAAGGATGGACATGTCGCACTTGCGCAGCGAGCTGCACTCGTACGAAGAACGGTAGCCTCCCATTGGAGTTTGAGAGCCGAAACTGAGCACACAGCAAGCAGCTGAAGCGATTGCAATCGTGATATAATATATATATATATATTAAAATAAACTATCCATCCATCTGAGTACAAGAGATGGATGTTTCTGCAATGCTCAGCATAATCCCCGGTTTAGAAACTACATGAAACTACATTGATTAGCATGCTTGGCTCAACGCCGAGGTGCCTTGGTGCCTGAATCTACAGACAAACTCGTTCAACATTGGATTGACTCGACATCAAAACGTCAACAATACCTTGTGAAGATCATCTTTGCACCTCGACCTTGCCCCAAACCTCAAAGCCACCTTGTCGTATAGTTGAAGTACAGTTACTGGCCAAACCTCACCAGGTTATCTGCGATTCACCAGGTTATCATGCACCCCATTACATCTTCTGGAGCAACACCACAGGTGTAGAAGCAAACAAGAAGTCCGAAAGGCCCACAGAACCGACGTCGGTGATCTTGGGATCGCAGTTCCATAGACCGGTTCGACCATCAAACTCGATCAGGGGGTCAATGCAGCCGGAGAATGTGCAGAAACTCCACCATCTTCATCTAGTCAAAAATACTTGATGATAATTGTATACTAGCTTCTGTTGCAAGTTTGGTTTAAAGGTGTCTAAAGTCTTGCATCATGCAGTCATAGAAATTTTATACATCGGCGTTCGCATGCGTTCGCTGTGCGGTAGATGACACCCATGCCCCTACTCCCCGAAAACCCGCAAAGACCACTCTTCAGCCTGTTGCAATCGCCGGACAGATGTGGGCTACTTCTTCTCGTAGACTGGGCGCAAGGCCTCGATTCGGAGCGCAGAACGAGGACAGAAAACTTCCACAGCGTCGAATAATGGGAGGCAGCCCCTGGCAAGCCCCAATGGCAAGTTCAGTATATATGAGCTCCGAAATTAGTGACCTCGATTTCGATGTTGACAAATGTAAATGTAAAGATCGAGACCTCTAAAGATGCTTTGCTGATGCTTCATACAATTGAAATATATTGAAATATAGTTTTAGAATGTTTTAGAACACTATGGACACTATAGGCAGTCTGTCTTGCTTTATCGTGTTTTATCTTGCTTTGTGCACCTTCGTTCAAAGCGCCCCAAAAGAGACACCCTTCCGTTGCACGAACATGCTGCTTGACATCAATGGTTGCCAGCACAAAAACAGGAAGGTTTGTTCAACAAAAATGGCCCTACCAATCCCTTACCATATTTTCTCTGTAGCAAATATTTATACGCATCTTTAGCTTTGGAATGGTCAGTGTCTGCAGCTATTTGTCGGTCCTTATCGTCTAATCGCCAAGGCACAGCGTCTGCCTAAACCTAACCAAACGGTCGATCTGAGCGACGGTGTTTCTCCCGTGGGGTGCCCCGAGTGCTCAATCGACCGTCCAAAAACCTCTGAAACCCCGACCGCAAAGGTCGGTGGTTGGAAGATGTGGTCGAAATCGGACGCTGGTCGTGATCACACGCGCACACCAACTGCCTGGCGCCGCCGTGCCACGCGGTAACAATGTCGACATGGAGGGTGCATGAGGTGCCTGGATGGCTTTGTCGAGCGCATCCACCTCGGAGCGGTTGTGAATCTGCCACTCGCGTCTTTGAACAATCCCAGGAATCCCATGGTTTTAGGAGGCTTGCTTCATCTGAAATAGGGTTTAAGTTCAATTCTTGTGGGTTTCCTCAAGTGCAAAGATACGATAATACAATAATAAATATAGTAATATGGCAATAACTGCCCCATGCCATGAAAACTCTCAAAAAATGGTCACAGAGTCCCAAAATGTCCCAAATATTCATGTATTTATTTCCTGACTTTACTATGGGGTGATGTACCGATTATCAGGCCTGTGAGGAACGATCAACAGAACCCCCTTCTTGGAATCAGCGATGCTTCGTGTCGTGATGCGTCGACCTGCGAGCTTCGTCGCCCAGCAGCGGGTGCCATCTCCGAGGACTGCTTCGTCTTCATGGCGGCCACCAAGACCTGACCAAGATGGGCCGAAGACCTGGTTCGCAAGGGTTTTTGCTTACGCACAGTGCACAGTGTCCTTCTGAACATGTCTTTAGTAAATTTCAACACCTAGGCCCTGAAAGATGCTCAGGTATGCTCAGGTGACATTTTGGGGGAAATGCTGGATGTTTGGTGTCAAGAAAGCAAACAAAGATCACTGAGACCGGGTGGAGAGTTCCAACTTAGTGACATGTGCGTGGCACTGGAGACCGCACCAAAGTTGTCACAGTCCACGGAGCATCCGAAGTCTGCTTCAACGGTAAGCTGGGTAAGTCTTGAGCTGGCTTGAGGTATGCTGCGCCGCGCCGCGCCCTAGCAGCTTTGCAGACTTCCCATTCCCAAAGGACCAAAAAACGCTGGTCAAAACTCGGTGAACCCGATATCGAGCTGACCGGTACAGTAAAGGACAAACACTCGGTCTACCGAACTGTGGTTCCCCGTCACCAACAGGTTCGCCGGTGTGTGACCCAGCAGTCGCTCTAGGCCCTCGGACAGCATGGTGCAATGCCAAGACCTGCGCAAAATGTACAGTTCATGGACGCTCTAGCTATTGTTTACAGTATATTCCCCATGTTTCGGTCAACGATAATCATTATAAGCTCTGCAGGTATGATTGAACCCCCATGACATGCCAACCATAAGTCCAACGGAATCGCTTATGCGACGGTTGACTGGAAGGCATAGGATATACATGTTTGAATCAAGTAGAATAAGACCGTAAACACAGCATACGCAACATGCATGACTCTGCACGACTCACGACTCCACCCCACCATATGCTTCTCAGTTTTTCGCTTAATTATAATACGCCCAAGTTCCATTTGACAAGACCATTACTGGCTCATCTCGAGAGGTTTTTGTGGTGCTCATCATAATATGACAGGAACAAAGATCTTTTCAGTGCACAACTTATCCGACAAAGTGGCACTGGAACGGATGGAATATAGCGGGCGCCGATGGGCCCTTGATATCCAATCCTCAATTCGTCTTCGGGCCATCAGTGCGGGTGTGCAAACGTTCTTTCGCAAAGTGCGTGCGGCTGCGCAGGTTTGGCGAAACGCAACATCGGTTCAAATCGGTTCACCTGGTGTGAAGCGCCCACCCTGTTGTGGTATTGTGGGGATAGCGCCTGCAGGTAGTCGTGCTCAGAAAGCTGTTCCTTTTTCACCTTTTGCGCCAAGAAGTACCTGGGCCAGCAACAACGTGTATTGAATTCTATGGGACTGCTCTCTGCAAAGTGTTGAGTCTTTGAGTCTTAGAGACTGGCAACCAGCTTTGCGTGTCGTGGCAAGGGCATGTAACACGTAAGACTATGATGGCTCCAAACCCAGAAAGTTTGACGAAATCAACAATTCAGGCGGAGTTTTTAGACCAAACACATATAGTGGTTTCAGAATAGATTGCATTTTTCCCAAAAGGTGGTTTATATGGATCCCCATCTAAAAGAAATTTTCGGGTGCCAGTGCCATCTACTCTGAAACCACTGTATTGGAGTCCGTTTGGACAAAGGGGAGGATCCAAAAGAGTTGACCGGGACCTGGGAGGACCGTGGATTTCCGCCTTTTCGGATTGCCAGAAAAGCGAAACAACAGCAACGCCGCCACTACCGCAGCTGTAGGATTGACCAGACCGGTTCATGTCTGCCAGCTCCAACATTTTTGACCATCATATACCATATTGTTGGAATATCCCAAAACCCGAATCACCCTCCCAACAACCTTGGTCTAGTGGTTTGCATCTCTTCCTTGCAAAAATGACCTCGACAAAGCCTTCGAGTAAAACACATGATCTGTCAACACCCTCAAGCCACGCTCCCAAAAACAAGGGCATAGCTAGACTGCCAACTCTTTCCATGTCTCTATTGGTCCAAAAAGTTGCAGTCGCGGATGTCTCCTCGGTCAGACTGAGTGCCACACTCCGCGATCGTGTGCATAAGCTTTGATGCCTTGGACGATGGGAAATGTGTCTTCTGGCTCTGTGGCATGGCTTGTGGAATTGCGTTACAATCACTATGCACAGATCGGTCATGACAAAACATGCAAACAGTGACTCTTGGTGTCATGTAATTTGAAAACGAAACGAACCAATAGTCTTTAAGTCTTTGGGGATGATACACATTCTTCTGCAGTGAAATGGATCACACTCTGCCTCTTAATGGGTGTGGCCAGTCATTTATCAAGCAGCGAGCTTCGAGGCTCCCCCGATTTTGAGACCAACCGGGTTGGTTAAATCACAGTTTCCCTCACCAAGCCTCATCATTTCAGGGCTCAACATGTATTAATACAAGTCTGCTAATCTGCTAATGTTCATGAAAATCCATCCACAACTGAGCTTCCCCCACTATTTGGATCAAACGTCAACATCTCAGAACCGTTCTCCTAAAAAGAGCTGCTCTCTGCAAACATTGGTTTCTGAGGGGCGTACATGCTCTTCCTTTGTGTTGATCCACCGGACCAACCTCGCACGGACGCACGGACGCAGAAGGCGAGTCCCTATGGACCAGGCACTGGTCGCGGAAAACTCGTTGTTTCGCTCAGAGCTATAGCTGTGACACATCTAAACACTGGTTTTCACGGAACAAACACATGTATACATAAACTGTCTTATCATTTCTTGGTTAGCAGTTGTGTGATTTTGTATGATACGGTCTTTGCATGTCTTTGCTACTCAGAACCTGATCTGAGTGAACCCGATTTTGGAGTATCACCCATCCAAACTACCGACTACCATTCTTGTCCTCTAAAAAAAACTTACATGAAGAAAAGCCCATAGATACCGTACCATGCATCAGTTCTTGTACTTTGTTTGGTAGGACACAGCTCTGCAACTGCCTCAGTTTAAAAGCATGCATGCTCTGAGGCAACCACTGATGTGTGTCCTGCGATGGATCAAAACGGAGTTGGCAAACAGCATCAAGCTGGGTGTTATGTGGTATTATATAATCACAAACCGCACAAACAGCATTTTCTACATGTGGGTTTAGTCTAATTTCCATTTATGTTGTCTGCGTCAGGTCCCATCCTAGCGGTTGTCTAAAGGAATATCAAACATTTCAATCATATCATCATATCACTTCAAAAGCAGGGTGCACACTTGGTATCACTGACAAACCACTTGCAATCTGGGCTTGGGCATTGAAGTGGGTTCGACAGCGTGGGCGCAGCGGGGTCACTGCCCTACATCAGAACTTGGTCCATTTTCTTCCTATGAACACCTTGTGGGTATCAGCATGTTCGGCAAGAGTGTCGGCTGAATCGTGCCTCGGTCCTGGAGCTTTCCAGATTTGCAAAGCTCCTGGCACTGTGCCACGGCCTTCCGAATCGTCATGGCATCCTGCCAGCAGCGGCAGGTTGCGGTGCTTCGCAGATCTTCACGGCAAAGTAGTGAAGACAGTGGGAACACGTGTTTGGGAAGTGGTGCAGCCCTACCCTTTTCAAGAAGAGCAGGGGACTATGGGAGGGTATCCTTTTTTGACTTCTGAGTGGTTATATGATACAGTAATTAGCTTCCAAAGTTGGGACCTTACAAAGGAGGATACTTTTAGGCAGGTTTGACAGTCTAGCTCGTCCCCTGCTAAACTTATTTGTATACTGTTTCATTTATCTCCTCCTGCTTCTGTATGGCTCGAAAAAACACAACGGATTAACTCGACAACCAGTATATATCAAACAACGTTTTGTAAATTTGTTTGACATAAACATGCAATATATTATACATGTTTTTTTCATCAGTATTTGTGATGACCACCATGTTAGATATATTTGACATATGTTAAAATGTCACCAAATGTCATACATAATTAAACAAAAAGGGATATTGTTAATGCAACCATATATGATAATAATAGTAGTATGTATAGTAATTCACTGTTCATAAAATACAATTAGTGAAATATAATTGTCAAATTAGATATAATATGATATAACTGTTACATACTGTTACATCAAAAACTACTATATACGTCATATAAGGAATGGGTTTCCAAATCAGGGATATCCAGCCAAGGATTCTAGTGGTTGACCATGGGACCTGGCATCGCCCACCCCTCACCTCCAGAATGCCAGCGATGCGACCATCATCATGGAAGATTCCGCATGGAACCTTTGGCGTTGCGACACAGGGCTAGGCCATGCCACAGGGCATATGGGGACATTGTATCATTTGGCCATGGGTTTCGATAAACAAAGCATCCCAACATGTTGTACCCAAGTCATTTTCTAACAACGGCTTGTAGTTAGTGGTTGCACCAACTAAATACATCTAAATACCTGGAGTGAAGGACTATATACGTACATGGCAACCTTACAAGCCACCCACAATTCTTGGACAACCAATCAAACTCTTGACCCCACTAGGTCATTTCACAGTCGATCCTACCCAAACAAGAACCTAAACCTGTCCAAACATCCTAAATCTCACCTCTGTGAAGAAATCGGACCCTCTACACTCCCCGCAACCAAACCATCCTGTGAGCAACTAGCCAAAGTTCCTGTACGTGGAAGCAGGACATGCCCTCACTGTGGGATAATGCATCTGCAAATTTAGAAATATAAACATAAAAACCACAGATTCTGTGAGCACAAATCGCTCTTGGAGGCCAGTGTGGGAGCTCCCTTGCTTTAACAATGGTTAGCCGACAGTGAAAGAAACTCACATGAAGTTATAAAGGACAGAGCAATTTGAGTTGCGCAGTGTTTCTTGTTCTCTCTCTGTGTGTGTCATCTACCCCCAACTATTGCAGAACCACCGGCGTTTGGTCTGCGTTTCAAGGCAACAAGAGGAAAGTCCCGCTTCGCTCTACAAGATTATACAAGCATGTCTTTGCCAAATCCATGTGTGTATAAGCTCAACCCTCAGTTTCCCTTGCATTTCAAGCTTAACCATTCTCCTTTGGTCGCAGCTTCGAACAAAGGTTCACCAAAGGGTCGCCAAGGTTCTCAACAAAAATCAATCTTTCAGGTCAATTTTGGACCTCGACACGTCCTTTGATTTCTGTTGGTTTTTCCGTCAAGGCTTCAGAGACAATGCAAAAGCATCACGATCGACCCGTTCCCTGCCTGGCAATGGCAGCGCACAGCTGCTCCCTCGGCCTGGAGAATGCAGGGACCCTGGTGCAGCAACTTTCATCTCCCAAACAGGCTGTAAGGCAGCGCAAACCAGGTGTATACTGACCAAAAGGCCATCACTTGGGATTAGAAACATGAATCATTTGTTTGGGGACATGGTGACATGGTTAATCTATTCATCCACGGACATCGTTCGCACAGGCTGGCCGGTGTGCAACTAAGACCCTCTTACTCTCCGACTGACACGGACTGGCCTCCGGAATCCATCTTGAAACAAGTGTCCTGTACCAGCAGGAGCCATATCACATATGTCGGTTGGCTCCATCCCTTCCGTCGAGTCTAGACCATGGCCCCCGATGGAGGAGCCCCAGAAGTGGATCCCTTATGGTCCCTGCTGCCTTCCTCAAACCTTTGCAGGAACCTTGCTGCTCTCACAGTCAAAGCACAATCATAGTCTGCAGAATCTGGGGCATTCTAGTGTGCTCAGTGTGCTCCCATGGCTTCACCATGATTCTTGTGTAGTGATTCCCAAATTGTGGAAGATGAGATTCCACGGTCAATCCCAAAGACTTCTTGTAACCAGCTTGCCTCAGTTGTGCCACAACTCAAAGCATGCTCCGTGGTGAACCATGGTGAATCTGCTCGTTTGGACCCTCCGGGCAGATCAGCAACATGCTGAGAGCCCGCTGAGAGCTCCAAGGCCTCTTTCTTTTCCGCAGCCGATGCAAGGTCTCTTCCTGGAGACCTGCCAAGCGCCTAGCGGCTCCTGGCGAGAATTGCTGCGAATTGCTGAAACGAAGCCAGTGGCCAACGCGCGTACTGGTGGACGTCTCGCTGGTACCAGCTGAACACAGTAAGACTGAATAGGTGATCGCACATCATGCATACTTATTGTACAGTAAATGTACGTACAGTTCAAGAACATGTGTGGACATAAATGTTCGCAGGGTGTGGAGAACAAGTACTCGCGGCGCTGCAAAGCCCTGGAAACCCAGCGGTATGGGAAACTTCTGTCGCGTACATGATGAAACAATCGAAACTTGTGCTTTTTTTCGCTCGGTGACAACAATTTTGCCGACAAAACGACCCCCGTTTTGGGGTCCAAAAACGGACCCCAAAATGGAGTCCATTCATTCAGTCTCAATTTGATTTGCTTGTCCGGGCGACTTGGCCCCCGTTTTGGGGTCCAAAAACGGACCCCAAAACGGGGGTCGTTTTGTCGGCAAATTTTTTGAAAAATAGTGCAAGTTTCGATTGTTTCCGCGGGTACGCGACAGGTTTTGCATACCGCTGGGTTTCCATGATTTTGCAGCGCCGCGAGCAATTCTTCGCCGCGCCCTGCAAGCATGTATGTCCGCACATGCTCTTGAACTGGGGAGGCCCTCTGTGGCGAGACCGGTTTTTGCTGTGGTTTTTGGACCCCAAACTGGTGCCCACGAAAATCACTTTTTTTCCATTCCGTGAAGGAGCAAGAAGTTGGGAAAACCAGTGAGATTTGAGAATTGCTGGGGAGAAAGCGTTTGGTGTGTATGATAACAATCAAGCTTACAGATCAATGGTCAGCTGCTTCTTTCAGCAGTCTGATTGCGGCCTTGCACGCTTGGTGCATGTTTGTTTGCTACAATGCTTGTGGTGGACATCCGCCGTGAGTCGACCTAGCGCCCTGAGTCTTTGTATTTGTTTGGTCTGTCTTAGTTTTGGATGAGAGGGAAGAAGGGTGGGGAGATGTTGAGCGAAGGTTTGGCGCCGTGGAGCCGTGGAGCCTGTCATGTTTGCGTATGTTTTTTATAGGCCTGTGTTCAGGAGCCATCTCTGGTCGTTCAGTATGGCAAGGAAACCTTGTTTTACTTTTTTTTGACGTTGTTGTTTGATGCATGTTGTGAAGGATGGGGTTTGGAAAAGATATGGTTGAGGTTTGCGCTCACGTCCTTGGTGTTTGTTGCAAGCTACGCCAGGCTGCCGCCCGGGTCCCGGTTCCATCTTAAGCATCAACATTTACACGTTCCCTGGCAACGCGCTATACAGGGTTTTTGCGGCTACAATCAAGCTCTGGGTGACGTGGCAACGGCAAGCGGGCCACCCCTTCACCCCCATAGACTCTTAGTGTGGGAAATGAAGTTGCATGTGCAAGAGGCCGCGGAGTAGTATTTGCATTAGCCTTGCTGACAAACAACAGTGTATTCTTATTCCGGGCGAAAATACTCCGCAAGCCTGCTATTGGTCGCAGCAATCATGTCCCTCCAAAAAACCAACTCCGTGCTCATTTCCATTGGGGAGAGAATATAGCCTTCTCCGCGCGCGTTCCATTTTCTGTTTCGTGCGGCAGCTTGTGCTTGTTCAAATTGTTTTTTGGGCCGCGAAGCATGGTAGCTTCTCTTTGTTGGTTTTTCTTTGTGTTCTTTACAGCCTGTTTATTAAATTAGATTGTCAGTTGCCGCAGGATTCAATCGGAGGGTTTGTCTTCTGCAGCGCATCGTCAAACAGATCTTCTTTCCCACAGAAGCTAAAAGTGGCATCGCGAAAACAGGAGTTTTTTGATGACCAATCCAAGTACCTCTCCTGTATTACAGCCCACGGTACCGTCTCGGTACCACTTCAGCACGGCTCGGGCCCTTTATTACAATGCGCGGCGCCGCTTCGGTACCGCTCGGGCCCTCTATTACAATGCGCGGTACCGCCTCAGTACCGCTTCGGTACCGCTCGGGCCCTCTATTACAATGCGCGGCGCCGCCTCGGTACCGCTTCGGTACCGCTCGGGCCCTCTATTACAACGCGCGGTGCCGACACCCCGTTTGCGTTTTACAAAGTTTTAATTCGGTCGGAGTGATGAACTTCCAAGCAAACACAAAGACCAACAGAAACCCACAAAACGCAACCTTAACATTGTAGTCCCGGCGTTTCTTCAAACGGGGCGCTCCACACTTGCGCCAAGGCATTCCAAGTATTCTTCGCGCTCAACCATTCTTAACAAAGGCCTGGGCGTGGGTTTGGCCATTGATGTGTCCAAAGTTAAATTGCATTTTCGGGTGAATGTGTGGCCTTCATTTTGGGGTCCAAAAACACTAGCAAAACCGGTGTCGCCACGGAGGGCCTCCCCAGTATAGATAGAATCAGAGTTTATGCACAATTGTAAGGGCTCGCTGGCCGGAGCACCGAGCCTGTGGTGCTTGGAGAATTGAGTGCATCAAAAACGCTACCTGTGGTGTCTGTTCAGGGCCAGTTCGGCCACAACATGCCACATCCTCTATGACAAGCATCCCTGACAGCATAAATACCGCAGCTTATTGTCGTCACTGTTCAGTCGCCAAAACAGAACGGATTCCAACAGTTCGCCCCTGCTTTTGTTGCGGTCCTGAAGTATTCTTGAGGTAGGTAATTCTGCTACCATCTGCTCGATTGGGAAGGTGGTTCAAACCTTTCTGATGGTTGCCAAGAGCGGGTGCCACCACAACAAATGATGGGTGTGGATAGAAACAATGTAGCAGCTCCAAGCTGCGAGAAGATTTTCCAAAGACAATGTGGACAAGCAAACGACATGCTCTAGACTCTAGACTCTAGAATCTCAACGAGGATATTCAAGATCAGATCTATTCGATATTCCAAATGATTCCCATATCTTACCTCTCTTCCATGCCACCCTCTAGGTCTCCTGGTGTAGCTGGCGCAGCGAGCAGCGCACGGGTCAGCAGCACAGGGTCCAAGTCAGACACCAATGACAGGAGGTCTAAGGACCTTCGATACCTCGGCAGTTGGATGCGCGGTAGTTCCTTCGAGACTATACCTGCCCTCTCGGTTTGGCCTATCAGGGTGAGTTATGGACAGGAAACATGACGAAAACATAAGAACACCAAAAACACATAGCACCCCGATTGTAATTATATGGACTTGCATGTGAATATGCCTTTTGTGCATGTTGCATATCTGGTAAAGGAAATGAACACAATGAAGGAAAACGTCCACCACTTCAGTCGTTTGAGGTATAGTTGTGACCCGCACCCACCCACCCAGCTGCTCCGCCGATGCCCAGGAGCTGCGCTGCTCGGGTGCACGCAGCCATACAGGAGGCGACGATGGTTGTGGAGGGCGGCTGGGTGACTAGGAGCTGCTCCTGGTCATCCACTGTGGACGGTAGATCACACAAATAAACATGGGAGAATCCAACGCCCGCGCGGAAATTGTTGGCTATGTTCTCATGGTAGGACCCAACTGGATGATCAAACCATCATACTGCGATCTCTTTCGCCCCGTGTAGGATCGGGCTGTTCAGTGGAGTGTGTGCTGTTCATTGTCCACGATCTTATATATAGGCTTTTATTCATGCAGGGACCATGCCAAGGCTACAGTACAGGATGTTTCCCATCTTCCTCGGCATGAAACGCTGGGGATTCAGGTGCATATGGTGTACACCCATATGGTCCACCAGGTCTAGATTTTGCACACCCATATCACTGTGTCTCCGAATGAATCACACCCTCTGATTAATTACGGGAGCATCACATGCAAACGTGTGATTTTGAAGCTGCAGTTGACTTCGCCATACCACCCATGTCCACAATCGCAGGAGAAACGTGCGTCTCCAGAAGGCAAAGGGCTGCTTGCCACTGGGCCCGCTCCGCACATGCATGGATCACGCCACCAAAACCTGCTTCGTTCCGAGCTTCTCCGATGATGCGTCCACTGAGGGACAAACACAAACAAACTAGACTCATCTCGGAACCAGTACGTAGACTGTGCGACAAACTCAATCCGAATATGGACACGACACGCTCGATATTTGTCGGTTTACCTGAGGATGACTATGATAAACTCATGCTATAATGACATGCAAGTCGGCAGGAGCATAATTGACCAACCTCCCCATTCAATCAGAAGATTCAACCATTGCTTAATTGCAAGTTGTCTCGAGAGTTTGGCCAGGATCATCTTTTGCCCTGCGTTCACTGATCCATTTGGCAAGCAATGTCTTTGTGTGAGCCCCAAGTGGAAAACCTTGGCAGTACAAACATACCTACATATCTATTGACAGTCTTCCGGATACAGTATTCCGCTAGGACACAAAGTTATAGATCTTGCAAGTCTGCTGCTTAAAATCCTACAGCACTGCTGTGGCGGAGCTTTGACCGGATGAATTGATGCGGTCTTCGAATATCTCTTGCCAAGGTACTGATGGAATCTGGTCGCAACGTTGAATTCGGCATGTCTGTATGTAGAAGGCGCATAGCCCTACGCCATTGGGCATCTTGCGCACATGCACTGATGAGGTTGTTGTAGCCGACGACGTCAGCAGAAATCCTTGGTCCAATCTGAACCACGGCAGCTCAAAACATGGCTTTAAATTCAACAATTAGCTACAACAGGAACAACAGTAGCACGCGCAAAACGAATCAACGAGACACTGCATCCAGTGTAGTCCAAATGTGTTAATTGATCGCAGGGGTCTATGGCGGTGTCCTAATTTTCAGACTGCAGCGAGCTCCAGCCTGGGTCTACCTGGAAAATCCTGGAATCAAAGAGTCAACAAAAGAGGGGATCCCAGATGGCTTTGTTTAAATATGTTTAAACTATATTAACAATTCCTCATCTTCTAAGCAACCCCCACCTCTTCCGGCAGCGTCTTCCCTTGCCGAAGCTCGAAAAAGAAACCACCATGAGCATTGCAAACAACCACTGGCCACTGCGATGGCAAGCTGCGAGGGTGGAAGTGTACGAGGTCAATTGTGGGGAAACGCGATGCCTTGGGTCGCGCTGAACGCGGCCGAGACGCGGCCACTGGTGGAGTGTGGGGCACAGAAAAAAATGGAGCTGGAAGGAGCACAGTTTAACAAAAAAGGAGGTGGAATGGGGCTCAAAATCTAGATGTATCTAGTGTAGTTGCGACTCAAATGCAGAATGCCAAGGCGTGGCTTTGTAGATACCCTGGCCTTGAGCCAAACTTGTGTTTGGGGGATGCTCTTTTGCCCAAATCATTCGAGCAAAACGAATGAAGCAAAGGGAAGCAAAACGAAGCACGGGTCACGCAGCGGGTCCTCACTTTAGGTGGGTTTGGTCAATGCACAAATTCATGTGTACTGTATTCATGTGGACTCAAAGGGCGTGGCCCATACCATTATAGATATAACAATATGATACTGGTATTTTAGATCCTCTTGGGCCACGCTCAGTGTCAACTGGCACAATTATGGGTTGAAGGAATCGGGTTTGTGGTAACTTAAGGGAGCGTCGCTGTGTCCCACCAGGCGCATTAGCCCATGACCCTGATGTCATACATTGCCCTCCAGCAATGCATTGTGTTGTATGGGGGGCCTTCCGTTCTAACTTAAGGGAGTGTCGCTGTGTCCCACCGGGCGCATTAGCCCATCACCCTGATGTCATACATTGCCCTCCAGCAATGACTTGAGAACATATGTAGAGCGTTGCGCTGTGTTGTGGGGGCCTTCCGTCCTAACTTAAGGGGTGTCGCTGTGTCCCACCGGGCGCATGAGCCCATCACCCTGGTGTCATACATTGCGCTCCGGCAATGACTTGGCCCAAAAGACGACAACGAACGCGCGCGCTCAATATCAATATCCTAACACACAGATAACATCTGAACATTGAACACTGCATGAACACCCAGGCACGACCTCCTCCAAGTGTTGAGGGAGGTAGGATCAGGCGCTTGATCTCAAAGTCCTCCATCCTGAAGCCAGAGGAGCTGCCATCAAGTAAGCGCGTGATCGTCACACTCAGAACCAGAATCGCAAAGGATAGCAGCAGCATCGGATGCAGCAGTGCTGTGGTTGGTTGACTCCCGCTGTTGCGAGTTGGTGTGAGAAAAAGCTGTGCGCAGCGAATGGAGCAACGCAAGAAGAAGACGACTGAGATCATTCTCAATGACATGCGTTTGCGTATGTTTCCAGATTTTGAGACTGAAGCAAAAATGCAAACAAACACCCCCTCACTGCCCCACAGTGGCCAGCGGATTCCGCAGTCAACCTGCCACAGACCGATTGACGGACCTCGGCGCCTACAGAATGAACAGTCCGCAAAAGAATCTCCTTTCGCAGATAGCTCACTCTTCCTGGTACATGGCGAAGCCGTGCCTGAAGCGATCTGCATCCTTTTCTCCTTCATGTGCGCATTCTGGGTTGTCGTCATGGTTTGGTTCACGGGCTTCTTCCTGGCTGCCGGAATCTAGGTCAATGACAATGGAAGACGAGGCCAGTTCGCGGCCCCACATACGAGCTTTCTTCAAGACATGGTTCATTGCATCCTCTTCCTTCTCCCTCTTTACTGCAAAAATATGACGCTCACGTGCCTCCACGGTATCTAGCGCAGACTCCTCGTTTGGCTTGCCACCAAACAGGGCTGCGCCCCCTGCTTGCTCATCGCCTTTCCTCAAATCGCTTGTTCACGATGACGCTGACCCACTCCTGTTCCTTCCTCCTCTTCCACGAACTCCTCAGGCATTTCCTTTGGCCTGCCACTCACCGAGCGCGGCCCTCCGAGCATGACTAAGGCAGCCAGATCAAAGTCCCAAATGGCCTCCAAAGCCTTCAACACTTCCTGGTGGAAGGACTTTGGCGCCAGGGGCATGGCCATTGAAGTTCTTTGCGGGCTAAAGCCCCGTCGGCAGCCAAGTTCCGAGGAGCTTGGCTGACCAAAGCTACAATCCATCCAAAGATTGGAGGAGACTTGTTACCAAGCTTTTTGGTGGCAGACGGAGCTGAGCCATTTCACAGGAAGAGCGCGGAGCCACCTTCAGGCCTTCGTCGATGTCCTGATCATCTTTGTCGTCAAAGGTACTGTTTGGCTTTGGGCCTTTCCGAATTGCCTGGAGGTGAGCTCAAAACACTTCAAGATATATACGCCCTCCCAAGCTCTCTAAAGATTTTCCTGCCAGCGTTGAGGGAAGGCTGCATTCACATAGATTGCTGTTTGAAGAAGGTTGCCTTGATTTTTCACAGAAAAGACACATGTTTCAAGATAGTGGTTTCATCATCGGAGTTTTTGATGATGCCGATTTGGGTGGTCGTTTCCTTGGGGACTTCAACCTTGAGACCTGCCAGTTTGTAGCTAATTGCTGAGGTCAGAAAAGTTGATGTCACCCTGAGAGTTCCGGATGAGGTCAAAGGCATGGACCAGATTCGTCTCCCCTCCGCTCAGCTCTCTCATAGGAAAGGTCAGGAGGTTGCAGGACCCGCATGGCTGCAATGCTCTTACAGATGGGACCAGGCACAATCTCATGGAAGTCGTCGTGGTTCATGTCTTCGGAGTGCATGGCCGTTTGAGGATGCGTTGTACCTTGAAGCCTTGAAGGAGGCCAAATGCAAACAGATGCCTCAGGCAGACCCTCATAAATGTTCTTGCGCTGACAAATCAGACACATCAATCTGTCTCAAGAAAACGAACCCAAATAGTCAAATGGATCATTTTCATCGAAAAAATGCACCGCTCACGGCGCTCCCCTCTCTTTCCCAATTGTATTGTAATGTCAAAAACATTCTCTTCCAAGTTTTTTTTGGCCGTATCAACATGAGTGCAAGATCCAGCTTCGCTTTGCTCCAGCTAAGTTTTGGTTTGTGATGAACCTCAAGGTTCCCAATCTTCTCCCCTAGCACTAGGCTAATCACCGCCTCCGCAGTCTCTTGCAACTTAGAGGCTCTTCGTAGATTTTGTGTCCTGGGCAGCTAGCTAGCCCACCCAGAAGGCTGGTAAACAGTATCTACAAAGCAAACTAGCCCGAGCACTTTTAGATTTTGTTTGACCTACGGTCCTACGGTATTTCAACTGTTGGATTTTGTTTTCAAGCCACGAGTGAACGCAGAAAAGCTTCTTTCAAAAGATATGCAGGTGAGCCAGCTTGGCCAACAGGTTGTTTTCTCAGCCCTTGCACTGATCCATCATCGCATATATTCGTCACCTGGTCCTCTGCTTTTGGATGCGCACTTGCAATTTCAGGCTCCAACTCCAACCCTCCTGTTTCTGACAGGCCCCTACTCCAAACAGGACCCAATTTACAGCTTATCCTGAAAGCTGCACCTTTGCAAACTTCAGACAGTTCAGAGCTCCCCTTGCTAAAGATGCAGCCGCTCACAGTCAAGAAGCTCTCATAGGCAGCTCGAACATTGTTAAACAATGACGGCTGCATCGCTCAGGCAAACAAGCACGGCGGCTGACACGAGGTTTGCCAACGGGTCAGTCACCACATGTTTGTATACCCATTTTTCTGGGTGAGTTGGTGTATATAATTGGTGACTTCTATGCTTTTGAGGTTTCTACCTGCCATTGTTAAAAGCAAATGATAACAAATGTCTAGGATTCATGTGTGCCTTGACAAGGCTTCATCACAGGCTTCCCTTGTGATTTGGAGGCACTTGTGATCCGGAGCTCAACTGCCAAAACAGATCACGGACTGGCGCTGTGCAAATCAGGCACCAAAAACTACACATCTCCCAAAATCACAGGATCCTTAATCTCAGGGTCCCGAATAACTACCACAAATTGTGCAAGTTGGCAACGCTCAATAATCAGAACTGCACTCTGATCGGTATATCAATGGTCTTCAATAGTATATATTATATATATATATATATATTAGATCATTCATGCGCGCCCTCATTCGCCCTCTGCACATTCCGGCGACGACCCCATAGCCAGTGTAGTTCTGCGATGTTTTACATCTTCTCAGTCCCACTGTACAGGGGTTCAACGGTGCTGAAAAGGCGCTTCTGCTGGAACTTTAAGACCTCCAAACATGTGGGCCAAAGGCCCTGGGAGGCGCAAGCACTCAGCATGCTGCCGTAGGTCAAATGATCTGGTGAGGGCATGCAACACCTCAGATTGGAATTGGATGGAATCAGGATTTGGTTGCCGGGAGTAGTATCCGGGATTCTCATGAACACACTCATTAGCCTATCTGCCGGCAACACAAGCCGCGCACCATTGTGCCGCTCATGTGCTTCAAGGCACAAAAGATCGAAGCTATGCCACCATTGGCTGCTGCAAGCGTTGATGGCACTGTTGCAGGTTGTGGTGTCAGGCACCACCTGCAAAGAATCAAGAGAGCCTTCGATGGAACTTCCAAGACTGTACAACCTGACTAGTCATTAGTTACACTAGTTGGCCTCCTTGGGGGTTCACTCATTTTGAGCCACTGGGAAGGGGCCGAAGAATGCGACATGAACACAAAAAGCCACAAAATATGGGCCCTAGTGAAAAACGCTCTCCACAACACGAGAATGGGTGAAGCGCTCCTTGGGCCTACCAAGCGCTCCCTGAGTGCTATATGGCGATACGCATTCTTTTTGGAGTCCAGACTGTCCTCAAGTTCCTGGATTACTTACTTACTATATCTTACTATAGTCTATAGTTATCTATAAGTACTACCGCCCTTCTCTAGGAGGTTGTCTAAACTACTCCCTACCATCCGCCCTCCCAACCAACTTAGGGTTGTAAGTTATATGCCTGGTTCAGAACCCCCACCCATCATGGTGCCAAACCTCAGTGCTTCGCAGCGAAGAAAGCAGCGACAGCGCCATCTGCCTGTCAGAGGTCACCAACCCAGCTGTTCATGGAGATGTCTCAGTGCAATCAGGATCCCCATGGGTCCCCCCTTCCTTTTCCAGTCGTACCCTTTCACACCAGGTCGCCTTCTCCAAACCTTCTCAAGAACCTGGCTTCAACACATTCTGATCACTTAATGAACTCCACAAAAAAAAAAAAAACATTGCCGATGGCAATCCAGTTTCCCGGGTTTTTCTGCCACAGGTAGGTGTAACTGCTCAAACCAATTCGAGCTGGAATGTTGTCGAGCGATACTCAAATGGAAAAGCTCTTGTCCCTGTCAATCTCATCAAGCCATATCAATAACATTCTTCAGCAAATAGCAACTTCCATCTCCTTTCGGGCAAGGTGCCATTTCCTTGCCCTAGCGCAGGCGTTCACAGCACTACTCAAGCTGATGGCATTTGTCTGGCTGTCTTCTTCCTGCAAACCCATCAGCAAATCGTTGCAGCAGAATCCTTTGCCCTGTGGAATCTCAGGTTCAAATGGTTTAATTCCTATCAACCTGTCAGTGTTGGGGTCTCCTGTGGAGCGGGTCAATCTTGGATTACTGGATGTTCAAATGTTCAATTGCCGACACCTACCCCGTCAAATTTGCAAGAACCATTGGCCCAGCCACCTTGTATCTATAGAATTAGAACAAACTGCAAGGGAAACACCAAAGCAAACTACAATATGAAAGGGTTGCTTCCACGAGTGGTTTCCTCTATACACATAAGCTTGCACTCAGTCACTAAACAGAATCACCTAGTCTTATGACAAAAAGCAGGCGGCCGTTTCCTTCCACTGAATCCTAGAGTAGTAGCTGTTCGGGTCAAACAAAACAACACGCATAGAATAACAACATACTTTTCTGAATATAACAACAAATACGGCAAATAGGGCAAAGTTGTGTTTTGGGGGGGAATACGACACACCGACAGGAAACCGTGTTTTTGGGAATTGAACAGCAACACGGTCAAACCAAGGAATTACTAAGGCCATGCAAGGCCAAACACCCGGGATGTTCTATGCTTCCAAATCTATCATGAGTTGTGTTAACTCTGTTTTTTCTACCTCCATGTTCTATCTGTGTTTTTGTTAAACCATCTATATAATTAAGCGATAAATATATATATATATATGTATATTTGCATATGTTTTCTGCAAAAGCTGACACTTCAAGTATTCTACTTCCGATCTGCACGTGAGGAGAGAAAGCAAAGCCATCCGAACCCTGCATCAAACATGACGAAAGCTGGTCGTTCAACAGCGGTGAGAACTCCTTCTGAGGATATCCTTAGCAAAAAACATAGGTTGCTCATGGTTGTTCATGAGCAAATTACTATCCCCCTTCACAGGGAAGTGTTTGGACTGTTGTGCACATCAGAGTTGTGTTTTCATGACGGTGACATTCAGCCTCCGCTCTTCCCGTTTCAACTGCTCTGCTCATGCGAGGCTCCTCCATGAAGGTGATGAACAGATTGATCGCCTGCGCCCAAGCGACGCCCAGGGCCATGGCCTTCAGCACACCGTTCAAGGCCACCACAGGCGCCACGGGCTCCTGGTGAGAGACGAATGCCGCAGGAGGTCGTTTCTCTTGGTGTTTTGAACACCTCCTTGGGCTGGGCTGAGCTGGTCTTAGTTTTCCACCTCATCGTGGACGATTCGGTGAAGGGAAACCGAAACAATGTGTGAGACGGCACGCACCGAAACGCGAACGACTCCGACACCCGATACGGCGATGCATCTCCTGGAGGGCTTCCAAAACCTCAGGACATGTCAGCTGGGTGGTTTATAGACCTCCCTGTTGGGTCCCAAAGAGTTGTTGCCGCCAAGCGGCAAAGAGAGCTCGCTGCCATTGCTTCGCTTCTGCCATAGCATCGATCCTCAGCTGATCGAATCCTCACCGAATGATCCGAGCTGAATTCGCCTCCGAAGGATGGCCAACGATCTCTCCTTGGAATGAGGAATGGGAGCCACAAGGGATCAAACCCCTCTGACGAGTTTTGGTCAACAATTTCACTGCTTTGACTGGAAATTCATATACAGTAAATATGCTGCTTGCCAAGATTCAAAGTATTGCCGCTCTGCTCATCCACCTCTGCCATCTCCTCCCACCAACGAAGCGCTTTCGGCCACTCCGCTGCCTTCGCCAAAGCCGAGAGCACCTGGCAAATGAGTCTTTTCGTGGGGTGAACTATGGCAGCTCGCAATGTTAGGGCTTCATGTGTTTGGATTCGTTTGGTGAAAGGGCCCATAGACCTGGATCCGTCTGTCTGGATCTTTAAGGATCAACACTGACACTTGGCCCCTCCCAAAGTCCTTACACTCCACTCCGTGCACGGAGATTCATCACAAACACTTGGAATGAACCGATGATCGAAAAACGAGCACACGGTCTGCAAACCAGTTTTGCGTGTGCCTGTGTCGTTTTGTTGGATTTAGATGATGGAGCCTGGCGCCGGCGCCAGTTTGCAGAATTGAAGGGCTGACGAAGGGGTCCCGAGGGTTCCCTTGCAGCCCAAAATGGACCTGAAGCCAACTGGTTAGGGTATTTGGATGCATTCAACAAGCAAAATGTCCAGTGGTCTGTGGTCCATGTCTTCAGGATGCGGGTAAAAGCCAAACATTGAACAGAATCCTTTGGCCAAATGTTTGCCTATCAGGACACTTATGTCCTTGGTTGGTTGGTTGGTTGTGGTGTTCAAGTTGATGCCAATATGCAGCCAACATGCCCAGTTCAAACCAGCCAAGTGTTGATTGAAAGCTGTATCTGGGACACCGTCAGCTTACTTGTAGAGCATTCTGCAGAAGATATTGTTCAGGAGGTGATCTCCACTCCAGTAAATATATATATATATATTATATACATTCATATACATTATATCTATTGGATTTGGCTGGTTGCATCAGGCTTAGAGTAGCTAGCAAATATACCACGCACCCATTCAGAAATTCACCATCAGGAATCAGGCTTCGGGTTCTCAACCAGCAACGGATATTGAGAAGTGCTGAGGTAATTGGAGCTTCGCAGCCAATCCGACCAATTCGCCGGGCCGCCCCCAAGGCCGAACGCATGCAAAGGCACCACATTTCGGCTGACCAGGGACGGACAAAGCTCCATGGCACCTCGGTCTTCAGATCCAGGCAACACCCCCAGTGTGTCGAGCGGGTCCATGAAGATCAGGGCATGTGGAAAGCAATTGGTCTGGTTGGGAGATCTGGAGGCAGTTTCTAATGCTACACGCTGCGACTGTGAAAGTCGAGTCGGAGCTATGGAAGGGTATGAGTCTCCATTCCGAGCGGAATAGGTTCTCTCTTTCCCCGGTAAAGATGGTAAAGGACATCCCTTGCAGACCACTCCCATGGAATTCTTCATTGGTGGGTCATCTTGTGGGATGAATGCGGATGAGGCCCATTTCCCAATAAAACCGGTCCCGGTTCCTGTGGATCCCGCTTGGAAACAACCGATCGGTTTCCTGAAGGTTCAAACTCACCTGACTAGCGAGCATCAAACAATCAGGAACTCTGTCCCTGGCAACAACTGTTTTCTTCTCCCCACTGATCCATATTCAAGAAAGCAAAAAGCAAAAAGGTGAACTCATGAAGCGGGGCAAAGCTTTCTTCACTACAAGGGTCAAACAAGACATGCCACCTCCCATCATATGTTAGAAGTCATCTTCAAGCTGTATCTGCATCTGTATGCATTCAAACTTCCACCCACCAGCTCTATCCGAGATATACAACGTCACCGGTACTTAGAGCATTTGTGTTTCCCAGCCCTGCAGTGATGGAGTTTGTGCCCCATCTTGGAGGCCACCGACAAGTCATCCTTTCCAGAGTCTCCAGGCACCTTTTTACGACCAAGATCAACAAAGCACAGTCCGACATAGTACAACAAATGGATTGCTTCTAGAACCCAGACAATTGGGGATTCCCAGATCCATATCCCTCTGGGAAGTTGAAACACTTCTTCCACGCGGCACATTTCCTGGAGAAGATGCAGCGCCCAGACCCAAAGTCCTTCCTTTGGCCCGAGCGCAAGGTAGCGGTCGAGTGGGGGTGATTCGTTGGACCAAAGAGGCTGGGCTGGGACGCTGAGCTGGGGTGACCACTGGGGTGACGACCACCTTGTGGGCCTTTCGCCGTTGATTCAGTCATACCAATAAGGACGCCAATGGAGATGATGTCGGTGGATGGAATGATGGCAGAGTTCTTGCCAACCGCCTGAAAGGAGCTAGATTCATAGGGTAACACGTTGTCACCCCCTTGTAGTTTTGAATATTGATACAAGTAGCTACTCGAAGAAGAGCTCAGGCACATGAACGCTTGTGAATTCTATATCATATCACGGAAAATCAGCATTGATCGATTGTTCAACACCCGAGTAGTATTCCCGGGCACGCATCCTGAGCTCAATGAATAGGATCATCGATAGCTGGACATATTTGACTTCCAACTTCCAACTTCCAACTCCCTCGAAGTGATCATCTGACTTGTCTGAGTCCAACTTCCCTCCAGAATGACCTGAAGGACCCACTGGGACTCTTGTGCCATTGCAAGCACTTCACGGTGGACCCTGGATGATCCCAGACCCTGCCGTCTTGGACACTCAAAGCCAACGTTCGCTCCCAACGTTCGCTCAACACCCGAGATTCCTCGGCACAAGCGTTCATGACGCAGTTGTAGCTGATGACGTTTGGGTCCAACCGCACCTGCAGTGAGTTTTTCTGTCACATGGCAACAGGAACATCAAGAATGCACAAGTCCACATGTGTACAATGATATAGAGACTGAGAGGTATGGACCAAAATCATCCAACATCAAACCCTACACATCATGCATTGCAAGTCTGTTTGCTGCCTCACATGAGTTTTACTGTCTTGTCTATCTGCTGGCAGTAGTCAAACTTGTCAATAGCATCTGACAACCATCCATGCCCTAAGTCTCCATGCCCTAAATTTCAACCCTCATCCAATCCCTTGAAGATCATTTATTACATAATGACATGACATGTTCCCTTTCATAAACTCTGGACAAACCCAACAACTTCATGTCTGGCATTGACTATGACTCTTGCCTATGACAAGGTTTGTTCTGGGGAATGGGTATAGACGGGTATTGCTGATAACGCCTGGAAAATCTTTGCGGCTTCCAACAGTAACACCAATGGCTTGACCTGGACGCTGTCATCCTCTGCAGCGGAGCTGCTTGCGACAAAAGCTCCTGCAGCAGCAGCGCCCCAGTACGCCAAGCGAGCTGTGCCAGCACAGTGCCATAGGTCACCACGCTGTGTTCAACCTGGAGGCAGGTGGGATGGCAACTCTCATGAACCTGATAACACACTTAAAGTCATTATATATAATATATAATTACGAGTATCTGACGTGTAGCCATCTGACTCTCCTTGGACAACAGTGGAGAACTGATTTGAAGACACACGCCTTTTTGCAGGCTCGTCCTGCAGGAGATAATTTGATCATGTACACACATAATAGATCATCATAATCATAGTAACATTGGTATCATGCACTGTCCTGGACCATACCTTTGGAATGAATGGTCGCCTAAACAAGACAAAACCCACGTGGAGAAACGAGGAAAAACACAACATATGGCGCTCAAACGCAAGCGGGTTTGGCAGGGGGTGGTGTGTGGATGGTGATCCTTGCCCCCGTCTATACCCGTATCCTGTGGCAGTGTCCAAGAAATGAACCTATAGACTATAGATGAATCCAGTAGATGGTGCTTCTAAACGCGCTATCTATATAAAATCAACAAAACTAGTAGACGGATATTCATCCACCAAACTAGAATAGTTCGCTGCGTAATTAGCCTGCATAGCAATGCGATGCCATGCGTATATGGCTGCTGCTATAGCAGGGGAGCAACCGTCCACCGTCCCATGAGCTCTTGGCATCGAGCAATGGACGAATCCCCTCACCTCTCGGTGGCGCATCTGCTGCCAAAAACTGACCGTCAACGTCCAGTCCGCCATGCCGGAGAGGACCTGGCGACCGGTATGGCGACCGGTATGGCGACCGGCGACTGGTGGTGAGATGCGGACCAAACACTGAAAGGCGTTTCAAGCAGGGGAGCACTCTTTGTGACGTGTCCAAGTACGTAGTATACCGTAGTCGTAGTGAGTTCAAATATAGAGAAACAACACTTGATTTATTGATTGAACAAAATGTTTCCATGATCAAGGTTATTCTGTTGCCCCGTTTCCGAGTGACTATCACGTTGATCCGGGCTAACCACTTCACCGTTGTCCCTCGCTTTGAGAAGCAGTAGTCTTCGATGCAAACATTTTGCAATTCGGGTGGCCCATCAATCTGCCTCATCTCATCTTTTCCCACCAAACCAACGCTTCAACACTCAAACATGCTTTAAAACTGATTCACTTCTTTAGACAAAACCTGCAGGCAGAGCTTACATTTATGGGAAGCAAACACACACCTTTCTCATCACACTTGACTGGCTGACCCATCCACTAGCCCAGCGAATCACACCGTGGCACTGCGTTGCCACAAATCGGCGAGGAGAGCGTCAAACCACCGGAGCTGTGCAAGGACAGCGCACTGGGCCAATGCCTCGGGTTCGACCGGAAAGCGCTTTTTGGAGGCCTGAATGAACCTCCAGTAGGATAGGGCGATACCAACCAGAAAGTTTGAAGATGGGCGATACCGGTTCCGCAAAAGTATTTGTTCATTGGGAAATTACTGCTTCCCCGTCATAAGGATGGGACACATGAACCCTTGCTCATGGCACCCTTGCGACCTCCATGCACCATAAAGAGGTTCACACAAGAGTCGAACAAACTTGGAGGGACCTCTGGATAAATACCCAAGGTCCAAGGTCGTTTCGCTCGCAAAATCCAAGCTGCGTCGCTATCGCTGCTGCTGCAATGGAGCTGCCAAAACTGCGGGCCTGGCTACCAGATTGCACCCCGCTCGAGCGGAAGACGTAAAGGCAAAGGCAAGGTTGGGTGGTGTTCTGCCTATGGAACACCAAATGTCCTTTGGGAACATGTATCAATCTCTTCATTGTGTCATGCAGAGTTGCACTGAACAAAATCACACTCCCTCAAACCAACATATTACATACATATATAGCATTGTATAGCAACCATATAGAGAAATCATTTCGATACTGCTGGAAGATGGTTTTAGGATAAACAATACATCTTCTCTTTGCGGGGCGATCATCATCATCATCATCATCATCATCATCATCATCGCTGCCTTGCCAGCAGCCCACAGAACAAGGAGATCCCCGCACAAGTGTTTGGTGCCCACAATGAGTGCGCCCGAGTGCGCAGTACAACTGGGATAAATGAATAACTAAACTCCTAACCATGACGAATGGGCTCTGATCCAATCCTGCCCATCTGCTCCAACATCTGAGGGCCAGGCAGATGTGAAGACTCCCTCCGCAGGCATCTGGTGAAAGACGTGCAAGGCCGAGCGCCACACCTTTCCTCAACGCCGGAAAAGCGGAATGGGAAGTGGCTTCGTACAAAGGTGCAACACATCCCGAAGTGGCACCTTTGCTGAAGTAGCTACTCTTTGGCTACCTTTCGCCTGAACAAATCGTCTGGGCGACGTGACGCGTGAGGATTGAGATTGTGCAGAATGGCCAACTCCTTCCAGCTGCCTCAAGTAAATATAGGATCCAAGGCTTTATCCCAGTGCAAGTAGTCGTTTGCTCGAGTGCTTTTGATAATGGTAGTACATTCACATACACCAATCAATGCGGAATAGTTGATGCACATGAGTCACATGAGTTCTTCATCTGCGGTCGAGTGTCCGTCTTGACACGCCTTGATGCCGCTGTTGTAGCCTGATGCCGTCTTCGTGCCCCGCAGTTCACAGTGTGATACATCCCCGGAAGCAACTGAAGAAACACTGGAAGGCACGAACCTTCATTGATAGTTGAGAAGACTGTGTGGAAATAACTTCACTTCAAGTCGTTCCCTCATGGAGGAACATCAAGGTACCCAAAGGGAAGTGGTTCCCAGTTTAAACCGCCATCTGCTGCTTTGAATCCTTGACAGGTACAGTCTTTCATAGGCATCCGCTGCTCGACAATCCAACCTGGCCTCCTGGGGTTCCTGTCTAATGATACCTAGTAGCTTCTTGTTCCTAGTAGCTATTGGCTACTAGTAGCAAGCCCTTTGTGACTAGTAGCGATGCCCTTGTTACTAGTAGCTTCTTGTTCCTAGTGTAGTAAGGCCAGGAGCCCCTTGTAGCGTCCTTGCTCCTAGTAGCGATGCATGGGAATCCTTCCTGGGAGTTCTTCATGGGTTGTTGCTCAAACCAGAACGCCCAGCAACTTATGTTGTCACGCTCCACCTGCGCTGTGACCATGGACTTGAGGCTCTGTCCGGCATGCCACCAGGCACTGAGAGAAGCGCCTGGCGATGACGACAAACGTGCTGCCAGTCCTCATGATGGAAGGGATGTTGGCTAAGGCTATACATTTGCGGCCCCATGACAGTACAAAGATGTACAAAGTATATTAAATTATGATGATTGCAGCCTCTGGATCAAGGCAATGCAAAAACGCCAAATAAACCACACCAGACTTCCAGTAAGGCAGTGCAAGTTAGGCTGGAATCTTTGAACATGGCATGGTTTTGTATGAGGTGAAGTCAACAAAAACGTTTGCAACAACAAGTGCATGATGGGGTCTGTGCATGCAGTGACATTTGAACCTTTCGACGTTTCCACGTGGCCATTTTCATGGCTGGACACATGCTGGACCACCATGTCACATGATGTCTCACCTGCTTCGTTGATGTAGGTGTTGAAGCTGGTAAGATTGGGCACCAAGCCTGAGCCAGGATCATATCAGCTGGAAACAGCCACAGGCTGTTGGGGTTCCCTTCACTCAGGGTCGAAGGGCCAGATGTGCAGCTGCTGCCTGACATAGAGAATTCGTGGCCTCCACACAGTGGTCAACAACGATACACTCTGAGGAACACATCACATGGAAGTGGATGGCATGGTCCCTTGGAAGACTACTTTCCTTTGTATACAAGCCAGGGGTTTTCTGCTTCCATGTTAATAAGTCAGAGTGTAGATCGTTTTCTTCCACCCAGCTTTGGACAAACGTGTATCATCAGAGCCTCCGGTTGCTCACCATTCCCTATATTCCCTTGCTACTTCGACAGCATCCGAAGCTCCTGGACCCCTTGCGTCACGGGTGAAGGGTGGGAAGACGAAGTCAAACCTCTTGCAGAACAAGTCGAGGGAACTAAGTCGACCTTCCCTTCCTCACTCCCATCGCGGGGGGAAAGTGATGTCGACATCCCAAACGAATCTGTCGGGCTTTTCCCCAGGACCCGCCGCGGACCCACCGAGACCATTTCGAGGAGCCCAAGGACCCATCCAAACATGCGGCTGCTAAAGGCCAGGCGGGTCCAGAGCGTGCGAGGAGGCTATTGAAGATCAGGAGATTCAATTGGATCTGCGCCTCCAAATGCGAAAAAGTACACCAGAAACAAACGCACATGAACTGTTCATGATGAACCACGGAGGCAACCAGGGTGCCTCCATCTATCTCCATCTACAGGATAGAATTCGGGCCTTTCCAACCACTGGCGACACATACAAGAACGGGACAGCCAGTTGAGAATCCTATCAGATCCTTTCAATCGGCAAGACTGTCAACCATGAACAAAGCCCGACGGACGGGTCCCATCTTTGTCCAACCTGCAAAGCCCAGGCGACCACAAAAAAAGCACGGTGCCAATCCTCAAAAGGCTCCGTGGCTGAACGTGGAGGGGTCGAGAAAAGGCGAGAAAGGTTGTGTATAATATTGATGATCTATATATTTATAGATGCGAGACCCATTTCTGGTATACAGTCAGAAGAGTCTACCCGAACAATTTGGACCTAGGCCCTTAACCAAACAACCAACCAGCCGGTCTCTAGGCAACCAGCCAAACCCCGGTTTTTCGCTGCTCCCTTCGCCAGGCGTCGCAGCGACGGTGCAGCAATGCCCCGCACGTCGCTGCGTCGAAGCTTTGTGGCGAAACTGGCGAAACCTTCAGCATGTGCAGCGCGTGGGGCCAGTGCTGAGCCGTCCTAGGCAGAGAGACAGCGGGTGTTGGTTTCCTTTTTAGAACCCGAATGCAGAAAAACACAAAGAGATGTCCGATTTGCTGTGGGTCTATCCCCTTTCGCACACCACCAGGACAACACTTCTTGAAGGTTCCGCGGCAAAACTCTTTGCCTAGAATCCCTCCCGCTTAGTGTAATTACCGGCCCGGTCATCCCAATGGAAAAACAATGAAACACGTTTGCTCCAATTCAACGGTTCTTGGGAATTGTATATAGTAGCTGTTCTTTATTGTTCTTTGGAATTACTGTTTGACCCCAAAGCTCGTATTCGTACATGAATCCTGAAGACGATTCGATGTATGAAGAGGTTTATTTTACCTGTCACTGCTCAGTCGTCCTGAACATCATCAAGCACCCAGTTGTTGAATCAAATGACTTGGAAGCATGAAGCTATTAGCGGTGAAAGCACCGGACCTTGAAAAGTCATGCATTGGGACATCAGGCATGACACCGAACGAAGAGCTACTACTTCTACCGGTTGTCGTGCAAAACACTGTTCTGGTTCTATTTATGTTTGTTTTTTCGAGCTATCATTGGGCAATTGGGGATATGATCTCTTCTCCATCCTGTCCAAGGCACAAGGCAGTGTTGAAAATCACCAAATTGGCCTCCGAAACGGCACAAAAATCGGCAACAAACCGGGATAGAGCTTCACCAGGTTTCTAAGGCCAAGCACTCACTTGGGCACTGGAAGTTTACCTCACTTGCGCACTTTACCTCACTTGCGAACCGAACACTCACTTGCGCACTTTCAGAGGGGACAAGGTGAAAGGAGATTCAACCACCAAACAATCTAATGGGTGGGGTGGGGGGAAGGGTGGCAACAGGCCCGGAAGAGTAGAACACAGACCCAAGCAACAGGCAATCTACAACCACCGGACTATTGGGTGGGGTGGGGTGTGGGGGAGAAGGTGAAAGGAGATTCAACCACCAGACAATGGTTCAGAACACCCCATTAAAATGTGTCTCTCGAGAAGCACCGTCCTTGAACAAAGTATACTCAAAGGAACACGCCCTTGTGCAACGGAAAGTATGCTCCATTTCCAGTGCATAAGCGAGACAAGCGAGTATAGTTTCCAGTGCACAAGCGGGTGCTCGTCCGGTTTCCAAGGGTGAAGCTATTGCAGCATATTTCATATTGCAGCAACAAAAATAACCAGCTTCTTGAATGTGCGATAACAAGCTTCTTCCTGTTCCATCACTCCCTTAGATCCTGTTCCCCTTTCTCAATCAAATTGAGCACTGCTGCAAACAGCAGTCAGCTTAGCCGGCTGACCCTCCTCCTCCTCCCCAAGCATTTCTCGGGACGTGAAATACAATTGCAGCATCACGCAAGTGCAACTTTCAACACCCTAGCAGGGTGCAAGAAATTGATGCGCTACCAAGGGATCAACTGCTTAAGCAAGCCTCACCACACAAGCAAAGAAGATTCGGGGAGTGACGGCGTTTGGAATGAGAGGCTTATGCTTCTGCAGTGTAACTATGACCCTACAATGTCCCCCTATGCTTTGCTTATGGCTTATGGCAACATATGCGTACAAGGCCTCACCTTGCGCTTACAGCGAGGTAGCTCCTACAAGTATGTGGTCGGCCAGAGCTTCCGGGCAGCTTGGGAGGCGTGTTTTGTACATCCTTGTGGCAACAATTCCGGAGAACTGACAAACATCAGTGAAAGAAGATCACCTGTTTGACTATCTATATATATGTGCTTTTACTGAAACAGGTAGTATTTGCAACACAAAGGAATTTAGAACGCAACTGATCTTGCACGACACCATCAACCCGAAACTCTGTCCGGTGGCCATTTGGGATGGTCAAGCCTAACAACCAAAAAAAGAACCCATAAGTTCTCCGGCAACAATTGCATGAGCACCACAAGCACCAACTTGTAGCGTCCTTTTGCTTCACAACGCTTCTTCCGACATCCTAAGTCTATTGGCAGTGTCTGGCCCCCGCCGAGCCTCCACTCTGCGCACCTCCATTGCCTGCCATGAGCTGTGGGCCAACAAAACCGAACGGTTCAATCTGGATCCTCAACAAGAAGCTACTAGAAGCATCTAGAAGCTAGAAGCTATTTGGTTGGAGGCCATCGCTAGAAGGTTAGAGGCCATTACTACTAGTAACAAGAAGCTACTAGTAGCTAAGAACAGAGTATTTGGCACTGGCCCAGCATGGACGAATCTGGGGAACGGTTCCTTGGGTATGCAGGTGAGTTGGTCGACTATCTCACAGCGTCATCCACACCGGATCTCGTTACTTAGGAACAAAGAGACGAACAAAAAGACAGTAGGGGAACGTACGGGATCCTTCAATCAGGCCCCCTTGTAAACGGGGGTCCTGTCCAAGCTGCCCTTTACATCTTATTTGTCCTTCTGGATCAGTCGACATCGCTATGCCCAAGCAAAAGAATAGATGTGTTGATGTCAATGGTCAATGGTGAGGAGTCTCAACTTTGAGGCCCCGCGCTCCCCATGCTCCCCTCCCTTAAGGACTGGCATTGAGGTGGGACCCTGGACCTCTGTCACTGTACTTTCAAGAACAATCACCTGAAGAACACGATGCCCAAACATCCTTCGACTGCGTGAAAAACCGGCGTCCCCCGGGTCCGCGAGGTTTGAGTTTGCAAGGAAGGCATGCATTTGATGAACGTTGTCAACTGCAGCCCCGCTGACCGGACCTGCAAGAGCTCCACAGTGCTTCTCCAAGATCGGCCCTGAGGCAGCCAGCAATGCGAACCAAGTGAGGATGATGTTGGACCGTTGCAACATAGTGGAACCGTTGATCCAATCTGAAGAATTTATCTTCCCAACTGTCAGACGTGATCTTATGATGACACAGTGAAATAGTGTGAACTTGTGAATATCCATCGTTCAACAAGCACTTACGAAAAAGCATCGACAGAAGCAACACCCTGAAATCGGCAACCCTGATCACTGATCCAAGCAAAACAAAGCGCCTTGTGAAACCACAACATTGACCACAAACAGGTCAACCACTGATGCTGAGATTCTTTTAGTTCTCTCTGAGATCCATGAGAATTCCATTCCAGAGGATGTTTCGAATATATTTCTATTATGCAGTAGTCAATATACTCATTCTATGTCTTTCTCGAAGTGCACACCTTATGAATATAGTGAAATCTTGATGATTCTTGATGTACAAGTAGGGGGGCGAACTTAGCAAACTTGCCAATCTTGTAAGGGGTCCAATGAAAACATACCAACCAAACACCTCACCCAATCCAAAGAACCACTTGATTTCGAAGACAATGCGTGCCTGTGGGCTTCCTACTTCTTCGCCCCGGTTTACACGAAGGTTCCGAGTCCGTCACAGTCGCGCCTGCGCCAGGCTGCGCAAGGCCAGGCCATAGTCACGCACCGAAGGTTGAGGACGCAGCAAGCTCTGTTCCCAGCCACCTGAGATCAGTCTCACATCCAAGACCTTTGATGGTGCACAGGGTGTACCGTGTGCAAGTGTTCAAGTCTGCTCTCTTGGCCATGTCCTATGGACATTAAGAAGTAGGATGGACAACTATTTGACATCAACTCAACCAATTTGCCCAACCATGGCCCCCCCATGACCTGTTGAGAACAGGAGGCTTCCTGGTGCATCAATGTCAATGTTTTCCGTGAGACACCAGAAGGCTCCTGGTGTTCCGCACTGCACCAGTATGATTTTGTTGAATGAACACCACAGCCGATATCTTTCTTGGCATTACCCATAGGTTCATACCCCGTGGAGATCTTCCCGCTCAAAATTTGTACAAGAACCACTTTGCCCATGTGTTCATAGTTCTCTAAAAATCCCAATGTCAAGTTCCCCCCAAAACCTAGGAATCAAATCATTAGTGCGAGCGCCTCTTTAAGGAAGCTCCCCCCGCACTCAGGCGGGGGAGCTTCCTTGAAGAAGCGTGAGCTATCCTGCGTCCTTGCTAGGAGCGAACTTCTCCTAGTAGCTTACTTCTTACTTAATCAAGTAGGCGCCTACTTAGATTAATTTAGTAAGGGCATGCTTAAAAAGACAACATCTAACATCTATATAAAAAATTAACTCTGCATCCACAAGACATCTTTGCGCAGCTCCATCTGAGCCACGCCCCGCCATCGGCCAAATCACCGTCGCGACGCATGGCGTGGACGTGGCTTTGGCGGGCCGGGCACCGTGTGCTGCGGCCGATCGAGACACCGTCGGGTGGTCTGACGTACCGGAAGCCGACACGAAAGCCTTTCCCGTGTTGGAAGGCCCATACAAACAATAGGTTACCAGAAAGCATATGATAAATCCTACCCCTGCTGTTCCCTTCAGGTAGCAAGGTAGCAAAAAAGGCATACCTCTGACCCTGGCCACCTGTGAATGACTGGTTTCAGGGTTTCAGGTAATTACAGTAGTATACAGGAGGGGAGGGTGCCCAACCACCACAATCTGTACACCCCCACTCAGTGCTCTCACTTACAAGCATAGAATGCCCGCTTCTACAATCATCCAGAATCCAGGTCAAGAGAACCGAGGTCCGCCAATGCACCGAATTTGCCGTTTTTTTCTTTCTCTTGAGATGGGGTGCCTCCAATGATTTGACTCCATTCATATCCAATTCATTTCATGAACAAACGGTGACGATATTCAGGCCTTTTTTCAATCGCCTTCGAATGCCTCATGCAGTGTGTTCAGCGCACTTTCTATACGTGACAAATCATCCAAAGGACAACGGCGAAACGGCCAAACCCACGGTGCCTTCCACGGAGATGGCGCGTAAAAAGCAGAGACCTCGGAGCTTGCAAAGGTCATGGGTCCCCCAAATGTCTTCGAGTAGTCCTTTTCCCCTATAAAAATATGTCAGTATAGATGTCCAGAATATATGCAGCAGGTTATTTGACCCTCAGATAATGCTAGTCAGCCATCAAGTACAAGTTGCCCGTATCACATGATGAATGCATAATATTTCATCATATTTCCTTCATTTGGGGTGTTTGGGGTCCCAGCCCCCTGCATGCTGTTCCTCTGGAGCACAATACAAACCCTGTCGATGCTATACTCTTCCCCCATCAGCCGCATGGTTCACGACCAGTCACAACCACAAAAACCCTCCTTTCCGTGGTCGTTTTTTTTTGGTGAGACAAATGTGAAAGCTATGACAGTGAGTCAGGACATCACCACTATGTTACTACTGCGCCTGCCATGAAAACCATATGAAAACCATATTCGGGCGGGAGGATCAACGACAAAACTTCGGCTCTGATATGTCTAACCATGTCTAACCATAAACACCAGAAACGCTGAACATCGCTGAAACATCTCATGTCTCATGCTGGACACCATCAGCATACATCAGCCCATGCGGACCCGCGGACCGGTCGTGCGGTTCTTCCGAGCTCCCCCGGCCGTCAGCCCCGTTGTAGCGGCCTGGGATCGAGGGAACGCGCCACTTCCAGCGCGGCCGCTGCGCAGCGGAGGAAGCTTGGACTTCATGGAAGGGTCATCTCAGATTGCACAAAAACAATCAAACACATAGAGGTCATTCACTTTTTATCTGGCATTCTCGGTGGGAAAAAAAAAACAATTTCTGTCTGTCGGCATTCTCGGCTCTCGGCCCCCAAGACGGAGGGCCAAGAGCTTCCTTCGATCATCCGAAAGTCTTAAAAGGACGGCCACACAAAGAGTCATGTAGACAGGTGAATTAATAAGCTACTAGGAACAAGTGCATCGCTACTAGTAACAAGTGCCTTACTACTAGTAACAAGAAGCTATTAGAAACAATAAATTAAAACTGCCCCCACTTGGATGCACGGACTTGCGGTTCGACGCGACAACCGCCGCTTGTCAGCTCTATATAATGTGATGGGTACAGTACAGGTGGGTCTTGTAAAGCCCCTTCGATGGGGTGGTTTTATTATGAGTTATTCAATGTTATTCAGCAACATTCAGCAACAGTCTCTACACTAAGCATATTCTTTGCAGAAGGTTTGGTGAGTGTACTCATCTCCACCGCCCTACTGACTGACCAAATATATCCGACATGTTGACCAAACATGATCAAACCAAGTTGGCAAATCAATACTCGTCTTTATTGCTACATATTACTATCATTTATTGATCCATACCGCAGGGCCACAGGCCCGCGGTACTCTTTTATGAAGAAGCATCCTGTGCCACTTGAGGCCTGATCAGCCGATCCTTGATTGGAACCCCTTCTTCTTTCCCTGTTGTGAAAACACTTGGGCACCCGGCCAGCGTTGGTCGTATGAGGTTTCGAACCTCAAATCCAGGAGCAATAAAGACTATGACTATATAGTAACATCCAGTCACAACGTATCATTATGACTGTACAGTCCTTGAACAGTCGAAATGTCCCCAAACGGGTCAATGCTGGCAGAAGTGATATCATCTGTTCCGGGACTCACGGCCCTCCTGGCTGTCATGGAATGGCTTGTCACTTGTCACGATCTATACAACTAAGAACAGGGATGTGGTTCAACAACATAGGAGACTGAAATGACTTTAGGGTCAATTGTCCAATGCCACTTTTTGTTGCCTAGGGGATACCTTGGTTTATGCCCACCCCCAGTGACAGTGATCTTGCTTTTTTACGCTCTTTTTTGACTCAGTGTTGTACGCATGCAAATATGCAACATCCAACTCAGTGACTCAGCACACCTTATTGTAGGTCTCTTGAAAGGGGGCTAACTTCGGACCGTGATTCCCAAACCAGGTCTGTTCATGGGCAAAGGGCCCAATTAGATAGGGTCCTACCAATATGATAGGGCCTCTCTCAAGGTAAATGCGATTAAATCATGGAGGAAGTAGAAATAAGGAGTCTGAGGTTGTGGGACAATTCCAGTGGTCTTCACCTACTTTCGGCTCTTGCTTGATACTTTGAAGAAGGGGACGAGTCGGATGGCCCTGGGCCCACTCTTTTCATCAGAAATAAGCGAATCCCAAGAACCAGCCTCTTTGGACGTGCCAGTGCAGTATAGTGCAGTAAGTGAACAATGCAACCAGGCCTCTTTGGGGCCATGCTCACCTAGCCCGACACAGTCAAGTGGGGCTGCCCTATGATCAATTTTTGTGTAACCATCCCCCTGTTCTCCACCCCTGTTCTCCCGCCCAACATCCCCGACCAAACCGTTGCTGTCCAGCCGCGGCGGAGCGGAGCATACTTCCAAAAGGGTTCTCGTCGGGTCCTAGGGTTCTGAGCGACTGTTTCGTGGCACCAGGACTTTTCTTCGGTCAGGCTGATGGATCTCATACACTGCAAGGCGCCAACATGTGGTGCTTCTTGTATTGCGACTGAGGTCAAGTGTACTCGCCATGTCGAAGTGTATAAAATAACTTACAGAGTGCGGCCATGAATCAAGCAGCCACATGACCTGACACCATTTGCTCACCTCGTATCATATGAGACACCAAAAGGGCACTTGAACACAAACTACTAACAATGTCCTCTATATATTGTTGATTTTATCATGTAGTATGTAACAACAAAAGCACTTGCGCTTCAATTGAGCTCTCACAGTTGGCTGGTTGGCTGTTACATGATCAGCTCTTAAGCCATGTAGTTCTTCCTGGTCTCCAACTTTGTACCGCTCGACCTGACTTATCTGCCAACCCGGTCTGAGGTCGCAACGCCCAAACACCGCGGTGTCCCGGGCGATGAAGCAAAGGTTGATGTGTGTGTGTGTGTCTGTCTGCGTGAACATATTGGTGGAGAAAAGAGCAAACAGGACGTTTCTCGAACGGATTGACGTTGAAAGCACATCAAGAAACCATGCGATGTTGTTCCACCAGCTGCAGCCACCCAGGGGACGGGAGACGCACGATTGGTACCCGTTGCATCCCGTTGGACCAAACCAACGAACAAGCCTGCAAACTGACATGGACCAGGCAAAACAGCCTCTGGGAAGGTTGCATCCTTCCACAAGCCGAGCAAGTGTTTGGATGTCTATGTTGGTCTGCTGGAGGAGATAATCCCATCTACTACTTACCATGTTTTTTGTCAACTTTGCAGAATACCCAAACAGCCTCGTGGTTGCACATCAGGCAGCAAACTCAAATGAATGGCAACCTGGCAACCTCTTTATATTCATACGAATCGTCTTTCCACATCAGGGGCAATGAATCAGTCGCCAAGTTTCAACACACTGTGAAGACTCGTGTGGGAGAACACAACTAGTTAGAAGCTAGGGCCCAGCATACTAAAGTTGAAACGGGCAAATACGTTTTTACAGGAAGCGTGCAGTAATAAGAAGCTACTAGTAGCAAAGGGCATCGCTACTAGGAGCAAGGACGCTACTAGTAGCTCCTGGCCTTAGTACTAGGAAGAAAAAGCTACTAGAAACAAGGGCATCGCTACTAGTAACAAAGGGCATTACTACTAGTAGCAAATAGCTACTGTAGCTATAAGTTCTCCTTGTTGGCCGACTGAATCCTCAAAGGCCGTCCGCTGACTCAGTATGAATCCCCGAAGCCCATCATTGAGCCCATCACCAGGGGCTGTCAGGTTGTGGTTCAGGCTATTGTTGAGTTGCTTTGGAGCCTCAAAAACTTATTTATCTTAATTAAATAAGTGTTTCAGCTTGGTCCCCTTGGAATCAGCGTGAAGTGGACATCTGCGTGAAACTTTTTTGCATCGCCAAATGGATACGGGAGCGGGTGACCCTTGATTAGCTTCATGACTTGGCCTTCAGCCTTCTGGCTCGATCTATTTGCGGTTTTCGAAATACTGACAAACCCAAATGATCCCAAATGACGAATCTAGTAACCCATTTACTCGTCTTCTGACAGGCTGTCAGCAGCTACAGGTGTCTGACCCATACTAACACCACATCTGCACAGAGTAAAAAGAAACGTGCTTGGCTCTTCCTTTTTGTGCTTTGCGTTCAGGTTTCGGAGAGTCTATTTGGGTCTGAACCAGTCAGAGCCCGTTGTGAATTATCCTGGTCAATCTATACAGCTGTAGAAAAACTACTTGCAAAATAGATCTAGTCAACGGGCGAGGCTTTATAACTGTATTTCACCACTGAACAAGCATGTCATATCATGTCATATCGTACAGTCAGTACATTAACGTTACATCACCTAAGGAACCGGGGTTATTCTCGTCATTGCTTTTTGGCTCCTCAAAGCGTCTTATTGAAACAGCTACAGTAATGGATAGTGAGGGGCAAAAACAATCAAGTGGGCCTGTCGGCAAGGTCATGAGTGCTCATCGGAAAAGGAGGTTTTCGTGCATGCTACCCAGCCAGGTGGCCAGTCATCCTGGGATAAAAGGCAACTTCCACGACTAATTGGAGGACGCACCATGGCCGGCCATAGTGCAAGTTCCGTCGAGACAC